AATGCTGTTGTTGATGTCTATTTCTTTTCTTCTTTAGTTTTTTTTTTGTGTGCAACTGACATTTGATTCTGTTAAGAAACCTGATCTTGATCTGTCAAAAAGCCTTCAAATGCATTATATTACTAACAAAATTTTAACGAATTTATATATATATATATATATCAATGAAATACCTAGAATGTAATTGAAGATTATATTCTATCAATAAATCAAATTTTAATAACAGATTATATATAAGAGAGAAAAGGAAAAAAAATAGAAAATTGAAATGATTCTTTTTTTTTTCCTTGATATCATTGTGCAGTAAGCATGTGTAAATGAATTTACACATAACTGATTACTTGCATGCATGCACAGGATATTGATTTTTGTCCCTAGACGAATCAACGTTCTTCCTGTAATGTGTGTGTGTGTATATATATATACAACTATATGAGTTTAGATAGACAGAAAACGGTAAGCAATGTTATACATGGCATTTATCAATCAATATAACAGATACTACATAGAAAAACATGTATAGATAAATATCGTACAAATTGCCCTTATTTGCGTTCATCTATATTATCTAGAATAGATTGACAGTTTCGACATTTGTTTAAATAATCTATGTCGATTGAAATAAGACTATTTCTGTGAACAAGTTACTACTAATGAAATATTGATGATTTCTATATAATATAAGTAATATAAATATATATATAAATAAAATTGATTGTCCTTGGTAGAAAAAACAAAATAAGATGTGTATGTACACCCTTAAACGACATTCCGTTTGTCATTCAAGCATATATACAAATGATTCAAATGCTTAGAGCAATGACAAAAGTATACTACAATCATTTGGTAATAAATGCAATTGTTGATCGTTAATCTTAACGCTATCTTATCGTTCTATATATTTGTTCTTTATCTGTAAAGAATGTATATATATATATATATACAAATGTTTAGTGCACAAACAAATAAACAAGACCTAACAAAAAGAAAAAACCGATTAGGAAAAACGAGGTTACATCTAGTAAGATAAACAAGTGTATATGTAGTTTCAATAGATTGATTGAGTTGTAATTAAAAATGACATATGTAAAAAAAGTAATACCTAATTTCCTTGATATGATGGTTCTTTTTTTTTTGATATTATGTTTTCTATTTAATAAAATCTTCTAGAAACTTACTGGATTTATACCAATAGGAGAATTTGATTTGTCTACAACTGGCTTTATATTAATAGATGAAGTTGAAGTAATTGATATTTGTTGATTAGGAATATTCGATGTGTCACAGGAGGAGATGACATCATGATGATGATGTGTAACGTCTGTTGTATCTACGGGTGAAGACGATAAAACAATGACAGCTGTTGATTTTGACGATTGATCACAAGCAGGAATACTAAGTCGTTTAGTTGGTAACAAGTTATTTATTTGATCGTCTGAACGAATACTTGTTGTTCGACTATATTTTCGTGTATAATACTAAAGAAAATTTTATGATTAAATTTTTCTTTCATCCTATACAAATGAATTTATATTTACCATTTCCAATTTTTTAACTATAATGACATTCATTTAACGGAAAGAAGAAAAGAAAACGTAGGTGAGAACAATAACAATAACAAAAAAAAAATATATATATAATAGATATTTATACTTCTTTTTTTTTTCTCCCCTCTTCTTTTCTCTTTCATTCAATAAGACGAACTAACTATTCAACTATATATATATAGATACTATCAACTAAGGAATAAACATATCAATTCTACTAGGTAGTTATGTAATCAATTCACATGTCATTTTGTTAATATTCGAAATTTATATTAATAAGAAAAAACAAAATTTGATTTTACTCTTATTTAGCTTTGTATTAATCAAATAAAAATCGTATCTTAGAAAGCTATTAGTCAGTTTATTAAAATACACATATATATATATGAATAACGATTCCATAAAAAAAAAGCCTTAAGGATATAAAAATAAAGCAATTTATAGAACGCATTTCTCTCGTCTCATTACGATTAAGAAATAGTAACAAATACAAGAAAAAAAAAAGAAACTAAGTAAAAAGCATTTTGATATCTTACTGTGTTCTATATAGGAAATACTTATCATAATCCTAACAGATTGTGTTATTTACTATTTTTTAACAATTATTCACTATAGGATGTGAAACAATTTTTTGATGTTATTTTGTCCTTGATTATTCTAATAAGAAATATAAAGAAGTTTAATCGCGACAAATGTTAAGAAACGTGCATGTTCTTGTCTACTATTTTGCTCTTTGTATGTTGAACATAAACGAAAATAAAAAAAAAAAAAAGAACAATAATGATGCTAGTACATACATCATGTCACGCAAATCCGGAACGAAGCGTGTTGAACTTCCGTATTCTTTTTTTATTTAATTTACAAAAAAAAAATTGAACATAGGAATTTATCTTACAAACTTAAACATAGAAAGAAAAAAAATCGTTCTTGTTATAAAGAAACTTGCGTTTACTAAAACATTTCCTATCAAGCGAATGAATTATGAAATATCTAACTGAATAGATCTTTTTTTTTCATTGTCACGATATTTTATCATGAATAGAACAATGATCTAAGAGTATATTTGTTTTTTTTTTTTTCAATAATCAACACTTTTTTCATTCTCGAACAAAACAATCATGATTCTATTCTTTTATAGTATACTCTATTATTAAATGTCTCAAGTGGGATGATGAAAAAGGAAAATTCTTTCTTCATGTTTTTACAACAAATAAGAATTTGCTTTCAACAAAAAGCACTCCTAATCTTTATCGTATGTATAATGAACCGTTGTATACTTACATTATAATATCAAATTTCTCGTATTTCTTTCTGTTAAATATTATTGTTAAGTATTTGATTATTAAACTAACGGAAGTATTTTTGTCAATAGTGATATTTCTGACGAGTAATGATAATGAATCTATTCTTTTTCGAATGGCGACGACAACGATGATGATAATGATAATAATAATAATAATAATGATAATATAGACTAGATAGCAAATAATAGGACGAAGAAAATTTATCGGAAAAAAAGATTCATACGCATACATGCACATATATATACAGTAATAAACTATGACGGAAAAAATAAAACATTCGTGGGATTTGCCACTGCTGCTGCTCATTTAACATAAAAGTCAATAAATGATAATAAGCATGAGTTAATAGACATATGTATTTCTGTTCCTATTCTGAATTAGAGCAAAAAATAACAAAGTTAAATTCATAGGAGAATACCACAATGTGCCTATTAATAGAACAATAGAATTGAACGATTTTCTTTTATGCTTACAAGTCTATGAATTGTCGGTCTCTTTTGTCTATCGTTCTCGAGGTTTTTTTCTTTTTTTTTTCTAATAAATTATTATGTGTTTTCTATGTTTGTTCTGTTGCTTTTAATGGCAATGTCGAGTATAGATCAGTGTCTCATTACTTGCTTAACTAAAAGCAATAACTTTTATCGTTATTGACTGCTTTCAAGCATCAAATATAAAACATATTAGTTATATTTTATATTCTTATTTTTCTTTTCTTCATATTCAAGTATTATTATAGAATTATTATTTAAATATAAACTAATCTTTAATACTTACTCCAACACTACCACGTCTCGAACTTGGTTCATTATATTGTAACGTACGATTTCGAATAATATCTGTTTGTAAATTGTCTGTTTCATCATTGCGACATGCATTTCTTCAAAATAAAACAATAAAATAAAAGATAAATCATAAAAACAAAAACATATTGATCAGATTGGTATAGTCAGTAAATTTATTAACGACAGACAATGTAGTCGTACATCGTTTATTCAATATAATTGAATGAAGAAAATAGGAATTTATGATTGTCTGTCTTAGACGCTAAAACAATTTAGATGTGTTATTGAAAAACAAAAATAAAGCAATGTAAACAATAGAATTATGGAGCATTTTTTGTAGTCTAACAAGAGAATGTGGTGGCGGATGGGATCCTTCCTTCTCCCTTCAAGGAACAGCTCATCAGAAAATTTTGAAAGCATTAAGGCTGATAGATCGTAATAAGATGAACAAAAAAATATTCTAGACTCTAAATTCTCAGATGCTTTCTTAAAGAAGAGATTAGTATCACAATCAGAGTTGGAATCGGTTCGACTGGACTAAACCGGATTTTTGCCAGTTCATCATTAAAAAATTGTTGCTTGTATTCAAGAATTTTCTCTACTGAAAAAGATGTTTTTATGATATTTTCACATTAGAAGAATGTCTTTGCGAAAGACTTGATGAATATTGTATCATCCACCTAACTGTAAACTGTTCACTGTTCTCTTTATATCTTTATCGATTTCTTTCTTGTGTACTGGTTAATTTAACCTAGATCATATAATTTGTTTTTGTTATTCTATTTAGACAGCTGCCTGAATCAGGAAAAATAAATATTTACACTGTTGTGCTAGATTTATTGTAAATTGGCTCTTTTTTCTTGAAATTAAAATGAAAAAAAAACAGATTTGATCTGTGTAGCTAACTTATATAGATATCAGGCTTGAAAAATCCACGCACCTTACTATAAAATAGGATGGTGACAGTTTCATTCCCAAGTTTTAGTTTCCAGCGCCGATTAGGGTGGCGATTACTTGTTAACTTATTATAAATTTAAATTTTTGCGAAGTTAAATTTAAAATAAATAAAAATTTTTTAGAGATGAAAATTTAAATTTATTTTAAATGTAAATTTTGTAAATTGAATTTTATGTTAAATTTACTCAAATTCAGTTTAAATCAATCTTAAATTCAATGTACATTCATTTAATTGGATTTAAATCCAACGGAATGAATTTAAATTGAAGTTATATTGGTTTAAACTAGATTTAAATAAATTTGAAAAATTTAAATGTATATAAATTCATTTGAAATTCAAAATCAATTTAATTTTTTAAATTTATTTTTCGATTTATTTAAATTTTGGTAAATGTAAGTTGATTATTCCTAAGTCGAATTTCTGAATATGAATATTCAATTCTCCTTCATCATCATTATATATGTGAATAGATACTTTTATGGTCGGTTATTTTTGTCAGTTTGGCTGTAAAATTCATCCGATCGGTTGCTGACCTAACCGGACCGGATAGAAAAAAGGTTTTATTTACGCATAATAGACACTGTTTGTATTATCTACTGCTTTTGGCCTCTTTTTATCACCCTACATTCGAACAAAATACTGAGTATCTTTAAAATGCATTTTCGGCTAAGGATGTTTTTCTTGAGAAGCCTTGATAAAAGTTAATGGTACATCATAGAATTAAAATGAAAAAAAACAAGGCATCCTAAACACTTTCTAATGGTCATCTACAAAGAGGCGAGTGAATATTTTTTGAATAAATTGTAATAGAAATAAGATAGAGCGCTGTAAGTTTCATTATTGATAAGAGGAGATGATGTCGCATCAAATTATATATTATAGGTTCTCCTAAGATGTTTGCTGCAGTTGTTTTTAATTCAATTTATAAAAAAAAAGGGTCGAAAAAATGCTTCCTTTTAACATAAGAAAAAAGCAAAAATCTGATTTTTTTTGTACAGTCATTGTTTGAAGAATTGACCGAGAGTTTTGACTAGAATATCTATGACTTCTAAATAACTAAAGCTAAAGCTTGCATAGTTTCATAGAGATTTCATTGATGCTTCCGATGTACATCAAACTATTGAAAATTCACTATAATCGCTCTGAATGCGCCTTCATCTCCTCTTTCTAACAGTGAAAATTGCAGCTGTCTATTTTTTTTCAATTACAATTTAATAAAAGAATTTCTGCTTGCCATTTTTTTTAAAGTGAACACTAGTCTAAGTTTCAACGCGAATGGCTGTAAATGAAGAGCAATTTTCAACTCTTTTTTTTGCTCGTAGCACTCATTTTTTTCACTGAGAAAAGACGAAGCTTTTCTTAAATTTTGTCAATAAAATATTTCGAACAACTTCAAAATACTTTGGGTCCGTCAACATTCGCTCAAGAGATATTTAATTTTAAAGCCTTAAAATAGTATATATTTTTATTTCTCATCAATAAGAAAAAAAAACTTCAAAAGTCTCACATAGGAAGCTTTATTTCATGAACTCTGCTAGTGACAAGTTTGAACATAGGTGTCAAAATCAAACGTCATATACCAAAGTATATAGTCTACTGAAGCAACTGTTTCCGTTGATAAATAACTTTGAACTTTATGCACAAGGTAGATGCTACTAATATACAATTTCAACTCGAACGAATGATTTCTTTGCAAGATCCTTAATTTCTCGCAACGAAAATGTTTTTCTTTTTAATCTAATTTGAACGAAATTTCAGGTCACAATACCATTATTCTAGTTTTTGGTACATATTGTGCTATAGGCTATAATTCAAGTAAAATGATTTTAATTCTGACAAGAAGGTCTAAGGGTACTTATCCTTAGGAGATATTTCATATCTCATTAGAATCTATTTTGCAGATTGAGAATGACCTTAAAAACGATTTATCACTTTAAAAAGACTCTTTTGCTAAAAGCATTAAGATTCAACGGTAAATTCTGAAAACTATAATTTTAAATTGTCTAAATATATCCTATTTTAAATGTACTTCTTTTAAAATCTAGATCATTATGTATAAGATTTATAATGAAAATTAAACCTATTTACTATGAAAAACTATAGATCAAGAATATTTTGATAATTATAAGTTCATTTGATATACTTCTTTTTCTTAATATAAGTATTAACAATGTTAAGATATTTTTAGATATAAAACTCTTTTTAAGATTATATATATATATATATATTTATGTAATAAAGGCATTATAGATAATTCAATAACAAAGACTTTTCAGTCGTATTAAAAAATTATCCTATATGTCACTTGATGAAAAGACATCATGATAGAGTACATGAACACCTACTGTTCTTTACAAAGGCGGATGTGACATTGATGAAATGATGGAAAAGCACTAAGAAACTATTGATAGGAAACAGAAAAAAAAGTGCACTTTCATGACTTTAATACATAATAAATATAGGTCATAAGGACGGTTTTTTTCTAAGTTCATTGATGTACCGGAAATAGCAAGTCATTTTTTTTCATATCTAACCAGAATATTCATAGGATCAATATCTTATCGAATATAAAAAATGATTACATAAATCCTATTTTATTCTCTAAAGAAAAATATGTTACATTGTTAAGACGTGATATGATTTACAAATCAAAAATTTTAGACAAAGAAAAAAAAGAAATATGGATAACTTAAATATTGCACTTACATATGATTGTATGTATTCGTTGGTATTTCCATTAACTTCTACTTTTTTCTTTTTTTTTTTACTCTCTTCAATCTATTCGAGACAATGTTTATGCAATAAAATAAATGTATGCTTTATGTTCACTTGTCTCGACGTTAATCGCAATCCTCTTTGCTTTCTCTCTCTCTACCTCTCTCGATAACGATGAAATATGTACGGACAAGATCGATAGTTCAATATGAAAAAAAAAACATTCATATATCAAATTGAACATACGTCACACACATATCCTATTATGCGAATATATACTTACTTAAATCGAAATATTGCAATAATAAACATGATAAAACTAATAAAAATAACAACAGTTATAATAACTTTAATTTGTGTTTTAGTTAAAGCTGAAGAAAAAAAAAACAACATAAAAATTGAACAAAAGAAAATAATTTTATATTTCTATATTTATTTACTTGGTATATATTTCATTGTATTATAATTATATGAAGTATCAAATATATGTATACGATTAGTTAATGAAGTAATATTATCATTAGTAAAATTAATATTTTTAGAAATAAAATGTTTTGATAATCGACGTTTAAAATAATCATTGATTGATGATGATGTTGATGATGTTGCTAAAATTAACATTGTTGATGTATTATTATTCAAACAATTTATTCGATTGATTAATGATAAACATCCAATAAAAAATAGAATAATAAACATAAAATGATTGATGTTCATTTTCTTTTGACAAAATAACCATTTCGATTAAGCTTTTTTTGTTTTTCTTTTTTCTTACACTATCTTGAAAAAGAAAGATAATGAAATGTCCAAATGTATTAAAAGAAAATATTCGTAGATTGTCATATGATGAATATAAAAGATAATATTGTAACTATTTAGTAAAATTAATTGAATCATTTATGACAGAAGTAATGTTTAAAATTAATGCGTACATTAACATAGAAACTAACATAAATTTGATGACAAGTTGGAATACGAGAAGAAAAAAGAACAAGATATTATTACTTTTTACTATATGTCTAGTTTTTTTTTCCCCCTTCTTTTCTCTTATGAAAAAAAAAAAAAAAGATCATCTAGTCGTCAAACTTCTTCTTAAAGCACTTAATAGCTTCAATGAAATGTTACGATACATCACATATATAAAAGAAAAACCAGTTATTCGAACTGTCAAATTCAATTACTCTTATATCTCAAATTCTAATCTCGAACCACAAAGATGGTTCAAGTAGACGTAGATTTCCTATTGTATATGATTTTTTTTTGTTTCTCCTTACTTCGTTTTATTATTGTTGAGTCAAGTTTTCTTGTTATTTACAATACTAAAAAAAAAAGGAAATATGCGTCATTGATTCACGATTAGTACGACATATATTCATCTTTAATTTTTATCAACTCAGTTACTATGAGTCAAAATAGAAATTAATTATAGAACACGCAGAGTAGTAATTAGAGAACTTTGTATATGATCCTTTTTGTCATTACTTACAGTTGAATGATTATTCCATGTTGTTAGTTGAGACTGTAATGATGGATCTATGTGTTTTCTCTTTTTTTTTTTTGTTGTCTTGCTCAACATATTTTCTTTAGATAAAGGAGTAGAAATATAAATATGCATAGGGTTCTCATTTTTATTCTATATAAATACGTGCCTTAGTAAGGATAATATAAATGCTTGAAAGATAGATAAACACTTTAATTTGTTAGTTATACATGCCTATGCACGAGCTGGTGTCTTATTATGTGTCAATGACAAGGAGCAGAGGCATAGTTTTATTTTTATCATGTTTTTCAAAACAAAAACAAAAAAAAATGAATTGATATAAATCAATAAAACATTATTATTTGTCTATCATTGATCGATTAATATGAATCGTGCTTACGCTTGATCTTATATTTTTTTTTTTTAATAATAGAAAATTTCTATTCTTAGAATAGTTGTTTGTTTGTCTAATTATTTCAAGACCACTTACGGCAGGCAAATAAAAGAACACATCTTCTATTGCTGTTGTTTCAATAATGCACGTTCTCATGTTCTTTTTCTAGTCAGAATGCATGAATGCATAAAGGCAAGAAAAGAGAAATATGTTATGGTGCTTATTGCAAGAAAGAAGAGTTAATGCGCACGGTAGTGCAACAACGCTCCAGATTTTCTCTAGTAAAAACAAAAAAAAAAAAAAAGAAGAAGAAGAAAAATGAAAGCGAACTCGATGCAGATTGAAAAGACATGGCCGACTTATATTCTATCCATCATCTCACATGTATTCAAGCGATCTGAATAGAAAATGTCAGTGCAATTGATATTCTATACTAATATATAAGTTGAAAAATGAGTATAGTCAAAAATTCATTCTTTATTTTTTTTTTGTTTTTGTTTTATATATAAGTTGATTGAAAAAAAGCCTAGATCGACATCAATAATATGACAAAACAATAGCAAATGAGATGTTTAGTATGTTGAATTTTGTTTTTTTCTTTTCTTATTGTCAAAGAATTTTTTATTGAATAATCAATATATTTTTATCTATGAAAGAAAAAACAAAAAACTATAATTATGACTAACTAAGTTCAACTATTGCATGATTTAAAACATTTTAGCAGATGTTTCGAAGATTTGAAAGATATGCAGATGAAATAATTAATATATTATAAATTGACATGTCTCTATCATATATATATATTTGTATTTGTTTTGATTCATTTGAATATAATATTATTAAAATAAAGATTTTATGAAGTAATAATAAATGCAAAAAGAAAAATAATGTATTAATAATAAGTTCTTGTATGAATGAGATTTCTATTAAATTTCTTCTTATGATTTATGAATTAAGTCGATAATATCGATTGATACCAAATAATAAAACTAGAAGTATTGTTTTATAAATGAATTCTTTTTTTTTTTTAAATATTATTCGATGATTAATCATTAGACTTAATCTTACAATAGTACATCCAAAATTCAAATATATCAATATTTGTTCATGTTCATACTAGAAACATTTATTTATTAGCAAATTACTTTTCTATTAAATAGATGTTGATAAAAAATTTTACAAGTATAAAATTAAACTATTTTAATCTATATTAAATCTAAATTATGAATATTTTCAAATAATTATTTAGAGTTTAATTAAATTAATATTTAAATAACAAAAATTCATATATAGATTTCATGGTTAAATTATAATATATAATTAGATAAGTTTTTCTTCAATAATATCTCTACGTATTTGAATAATTACTAACTATACTTCTATTAATTGAAGAAAAGAACATTTAATATTCATGTCACAATGTCTATACTTATCTGTTAATAATAACAAAAAAAAACAAACCAGCAGTTGCACATAAGAAAACACTAAGTTAACAAAAAATAAATTAAAATAATCAATGTGATATATTCATATAAGAAAGAAAAAAAAATTGTATTCGATTTTTTTTTTTTGAAAAAACATTCAGTTTGATTGTATAAGTTGTAAATTAAACATATATCAATTCATTTAATGACAATATATAGAGTTATTTTAATTCTTATATGTCAAGACGATTTATTATTATGATCATCTTCTTAATTTGACTGTTTGAACATTCTTCCTCTTTTTTTTTTTTTTCTATCAGCAGTTGAACATCATTATTTAATCTTATTAAGCTTGTAGACATCTTTATCTTGTCTTCATTTGTTGTTGTCAGACACTAGGGAAAAAGTTTGTCTCAACATTATATTCTAGTCGATGTATTCAATTAAATTGTCTCTCACACTTCATCTTATACGAACTTTTTTTTTTCATCTTATCTTGACATTGGACTTGTAATCTAACAAAAGCTAAAGTGACAAGATGAATAGATGAATTTTATTTGGTAAAAGTACTACACAGACAGACACACACATAATGCGATAAAGTTACATTTGATCTACTTAAAGTATTGTTAACAAGAAGATAATCTTAAATATAAATTTCTTTTTTTTTTTTTGTTTTTCATTAAAAAGATATTTATATTAATAGTATCAATGAACATATTATCGAATATTAACCAATTACTATTTCTATATAGAATTTAATAGATGAATGATATGAACGACATCATTATTTTCATCTTTTATCAATAATATACATTATAATATTCAGAAAATACGTAGTGTTTCGATGATGAAGAAAAAAACGGGTCTTTGTAATATTGTTATATCAAATGACGATATATTTATTGTGAATTGTAAATCAAGAACGCAAGATTTTCCATAGAAAACTTTTTCATCATGTAGATATAAAGCCTCAAGAGATATTCGATATTTTGATAGATATTTATGCATTGAATCTTGAATAAAATCTAAAAGTTTTCAAAAGATATTACGTATTTCTACGAATTTTTTTTCCCGAAAATCCTATGTAATTCTCTCATAGACTAAAATATCTATTCAATGAACAGTAAATATACAGAATGAAACAAAGAAAAAGATACTCTTTTCGTTCATTAATCATTATAATATCATCAATTTTTGTTAAGATCTTTTATGCAATTCTATCTGTACTAGCTCATTATCATATATAAAATAGTATACATTCAAATAGATCAAATTTCTTTTGAAACAACACTTATCATCATATGCTGTTATTAAAATTGAAAATTTTTTGGTTTTCGAACTAAGGAAAAAATCAAAACGTATTGGTGAGTTCGAGAATATTGAAGATTATGCTAGCGGTCAAATATGAGACTGAACATTTGCTTATACATCAACTGCTGATACTTGAAATATGTTTGCTCATTCATGAGATAAATATTTACTCACTACAATTAGATAAATGATGCATGGTAGGTTTTCTTCGATCCTCTTCAGCCTATTAAGACCTCTGTTATATAATCATAAAGTTAGATTTTATTTTATTCAATATACCCAGTTTTACATTTACTTTTAATCAAAAAAAAAGAAACTTTTCGATATTTTCATTTATTAATATCTAGACTGATATAGTCGTTACTTGTTCGTGCATTTAATAATCGGAATAATTAAATGATTAAGCAAAATTTCAAACATTGAAATTATCATAAATATTTATATTGATACTTTTGAAGTATAGTGATTAGATTAAAACAATGCTATAATAAATATCTTCTAGTTTTCGATGAATAAAAATATTTTTATTTGATAGATTAAATCTAATAGTTTTACATCAGTTTTTCATTTTATAAACTAATAGTTTCAATATTTGACTAGTTAATTGATCTAAACTTGAAAAATAATTCATATTTTCAAATAAACGAAATTTAAATTGATTGATGAAGCGCTAATTCAGTTCGATATTCTGAATAGAATCAAACAAAACATCTTTGAATTTATTTCGAAAAAAAACAACAAAATTTCTTTTTCATACAATTATTAGTCTTGTGCTTTTTATACAAATATTGAAAAATTAAGGTGATGAAATAATGTTTTATTAAAAAGACTGGTTTAGAATAAATACTTTCCACAAACTTTTTATTTTGTTTGAGAATTTTATGTATCACTGCCTAAAGAATTGTATAACTTAGAAATAAATCTCAGTAACACTTTCAACTTTTTACCTGTTTGATATTATGACCCGCCATTTCTGTTGTTTGGTGGTTTGTTAAAATATTCCGATGGTGAATTATCTATTCAATAAAGATAAGTTAGAAATAAAGCAAAATAGCAACTTTAACTTTCTACCTCCTTGACTAGTTTGCCCACCGCCTCGGCTGCTTCCTGGTCTACGAGTGTATGGTGATGATGGGCGATCTATTTTATAAAAAATCATTTTATAATATACCACTCGTAGAAAAATGTTCAATATTGAATACTTGATGATGATGAAGTTCTGTTATACGCCTGCGGATTGTTGTCAGAACCAGCAGGTGAAGACGGACTACCCATTGGACCATTATCATCGTTATTAATTGGTCTAATAATTGATGACAACTAAAAATATGTTTCATAGCTAACACTTTAAACAAAATTGTCAATAACTCACAGGTTTTGCCCGTTGTCTTCTAAGACTTTGTAGATAAGAAAATGCATCATCAAACGTTCTATAGTTTTCCATAAGACGATGAAGATCGTATTCGTCTTCTGAAGCATAATGCATCAGACGAATAGCTTGTACTTGATCATGAGCATTATCAACAGTATAATCTTTTGGATTATTCATCCGTCGACTAGCTTCACTGTAAAACATACGATCAGCACGCTAAAGAAGAGATTGATTATATATGTGAGCAAATATATTAGAAATTCGAATAAGAATAAACATTTTTATTTCTCAATTGATATTGTTGCATAAATAGTTAAACTCTTCGTACTTTCTTTGAAAAGTAAACTTAAAGTGAAACAACGCTTTTCTATAGCTCAAAAGGATAGGTATAAGTCAGGAGAGAACATCATATACTGAGGAGGAATTCTTCACAATGAGATTTCTTTAATTATTTAAATAATTATTTCAAGTCTTCTTTTGAGAAAGACAGTATGTAGGCAGTGTTGAAATATAGAGGTAAAAGTTTGGATCTCCTCTGTAGAAGTCATGACACATTTTTCGATAAGATCCGTTCTGTGACTAGCAGCAGTAGCTTCATCATGTTTTACATTTTAATCGTACATGGACTGTGCTTACATGTGTCACTGAAGGATTCTGATAAAACCAATCAACGCTATTGTAAATTAAATTAAGATTTATAATTTATCGACTGGAAATGAAAAACTGAAGGAAAAATTTAGCATTACGCTGAAAGAAACAACATTACAAAATGATGCAGTTTTGTTTATAAAATGATCATACAATGATCAACATTAAAGTTACACATATCCCGCAATCTATCTAATCTAAAATTAGCAAGAGATATTTAATCATGAAAACTTGTTAGAAGATTCTATGAAGGACTATTTTTGTCTATTTGGTATAATGTTTCATTCATATCTCAAGTCTAAGCGAAAATAATAATGTTGAACGGTTTAGTCTTAATAGAAATCGAATATGTGATATCTTTAGTTTTCTTGAACATCAACATTTCACTCATTAAAATGTAACTTAACTTCATATCTTGTCGAAGTATAGGAAGATAAATGTTAGACTTTTGATTTCGAACAGAATTTTTCTCGTTAACAAGAATTTGGGAGTAGATTATAACTTAAAAGAAAAAAAAAATGCTTCGTTTTCTTGTAGAACTGTAAATTATAAATAAATAGTAATTGATTATAAAATTATTATTATTGAACCTAAACGAAAATCATGTTTCATATGATTCGTTTTCTATTATAATGTTTCTACGTCCCAACATGATTATACTACGAAAATCTATGGCTTCATACTTTAAAATTAGTAGTATCTTTTACAATAAGAAATAAAAATACTCACATCAATTTTATCATCGTCAATTTTGAGAATAGTATCAAATAGATTGGAAGGCGCAGTAAAGTCATGCGTATTTTTCTTCAGCTTTTTTAGAGGTTCAATAATTTCTTCCAACGACGTTTTAGCACATGACTCAATTTCATTGATCTTCTTTTGTATTACAGGTATCACCTGGTCCGGTTCATTTCCATAAGCCATTGATATCTTCAAGATGGTATCGGAACAGTGACTCATATCTTTCGGAATGTTATTTCTCCATTCTTTAATATCGAACCGTCGAGGATTTTGGTCACGTCTAATAGTGGACACTTTTTGTTCAATAAGTTTTTCATTGACTATTGATTTATCTGATGGAATTTGCTCCTGAGCCGTGCGTTGAATGCATGAATATTATTAGAGTAAGACATATAAATTAGTACGTACTATTCTTGCTTTGAATTCTTCCACGAGCTGCATAGTTTGTTGATCAAGATCTGTTAACTGTTGCTGATGAGCTGATTCATTTTTTGAATTCTTTGTATAAAAATATAAGCAATATAATTACAAAACGATTGTATTTATAGAAAAATATCAATATTTAGTATTTGCGAAACATTAGATGAATCACATCTTGATCGAGTACCCGAAGTTGGTGAAAATTTCGAGTTTTACTGCTCCGTTCGATTCTGAGTTAGACTTAAAAAAAAGGTAAAACTAAGCATTAAACATATATACAAGCGTAAAAATCACTATCAGACTTTTATAAAATAAAAATGAAAATAAAATAAACTAATGTCGAGGAAATTCTTAATTTTCTTAGAAATTGAAGAAAAGTTTTAATAAAAAGTCGAGAATACTCTCAAAACATTGTTTGAATCTTATTGTACTTCACCAACTTCTTTTAAAAATGATACAACTATGACTTTCATATTTTCTTTTGATCCATTTAATCTACTGTTATTTTATATGGAAATATATAGTACAGTTCAATTTTTTATCGACGATCAAGTTTCTATTAAGACTTAACCTTGATGATGAAAAATATCAGTTTCTCTATGTGATATTTAATGTAACGAAGAGATCTTATTTTAGATTTCAAGCAATAGGACGATGAAGTTATTGATCTAGCAGACTCTAAATATGATTGACATGGAAAAACATGAACTAATTTAATTCTAGCATTTAGTCAAAACGTAACACTATATGTTTAAGTTCATCGTAAGAAAAAGTAGTGTATTTGGAAGCTAATTAAACAATTAAATCAATGTATATAGTTGGCTAATATGGTGATTTAACTGGCGAAGCTAAGAATCAAATGAGATTTGATGTTTCCTATGTTATGTGTCGTAGATATTATTATTAGGGAGGAAAGAAATCATATGTTGAATATGTATCTGACAATAAAAATTATTTTTTTCAATATAATGGTATTGAATGAATCTTATTAATTAGTAGAACAGTTCTTTCAAATACAAACATTTTTTGAAATGATAAAATTTCAGAACGCATGTGTTACCTGCAAAAATTGTTACAGTTTTGATTTAGTCATTTATGTTTTTAGAAGTTCAAGAGAACGGAAGTGTTACATCTTTCCTGCTATGAAAATTTCAGTAGTCATTATAAATCATGTTTCATAAAACAATAAACGTAAGTACAGAGCAATAATTTGCTAACACTAATTACTTTAGAACCATCTGGATCTTGGACCAGATGACTAAAACCAAGTGGGACTTGTGAAGGATTTTTGCCGCCAGAGTGTGCCATTGAGTCTTTTGATGATGTATTTTTGTGAAACCAAACAAACGTCTAACAAAGTGTTGAATATTAGAATCTTTTTATTTTTTCTATAAATTGCAATTTAGAGGTAAATATGTTAAATAAATGAATAAATACATACTTTATTCACTATGAATTATTTTTTTTATTATGACAATTGTCTCACTTTTAAACTATTGTTATATAACAAAAATATTTGTCTATTTTTTATGTTTGAAAAAGATTGTATTCTAGTAATCTAAGATTAAAATAAAAATAAAAATCTGTCATAATGTATAGATAATTAAAAGATTTCATTGAAAATGAATTGTGATATGATATAAAATCTACAAAATATATGACAAATATAATCACATATTTAAAAAATAAAAAAACGACACATATTAATATTCATTTCAAAATTAATAAAAGAAAAAAAAAATTTATTGTTTTTTTTGTATATGATTAAAATTCTTGCTTAAAATATATTGTTTTTTTTTCTTGTATTCAAATAATTCACTATTTGAAAACATGAATTATTATTTTCTTATTGTTATTGTCTTATTCTCTGTATCTTTTTTGGTTTTCCTAGAAATTTGGCTAAATGTTGTCGAGCCAACTAGAAATAGAAAGTGGAATTAATAAAAAGTTCATGACATAATTGTTTACATACTTGGATTAAAATATCTTTTGTTGCATCTGCAGCTACAACAACTCCAATAGCAGTCAGTTTTCGACGTAAATAACCATCATCATACAGTTCCCTTTTCAAAAACAAATGATACATAAATATTATGATTTCTTTTTTTAAATTGACCTACCAAGGTTCTATTTCATTACGCCACAGAAGTAAGCATAGAAATTCTTTGTAACATCGTCTAATATTGAAAGAGAATTTAGACAAATACAAGTCAACTAATAACATACTCGCAAAATCGATTGTCAGATGCCATTGAAGGTGCATTTTTACAACCTTCCACTGGACATTTAAGACCAGTTGCCTGTGGTTTTTGTTGAACTTCTTCCGAAACATTTATATTATGATTCTTGAAAGAAAATGTTAATATGAATTATAGAAAATATATCAGAAAATATAACAAACAGTCAATAATTGAACAATCACATCCACTTGAGCCTCATCACGAATTTCACGATAACAATTCAAACAACAATGAGCATGTAGCGTCTTTTTCAATACACAATCTGCTCGAGGACAAACCTAATCGAATAAAAAAAAACAGAACAAAAAAAAATTTTTTATTTTTTTTGTTTAACCATATTCGTTACTGTGTTATTTTCCGGATTGTAGAACAATGCTGAACATATTCGACAAAATTCCGTCTTACATCGAACACATAAGAAATGTTCACACCCACCAGGTTTACTATTCAATAACAAAAAAACAGTGATTAATTGTTTCTATCAGATATTCTGTAATTAAAACAAACGAGTAAGATCAGTTTTTTATTCGTAATTGTGAAGCGAAGACTTGTGTTAAGAACTGTCTATTTCAAGAGCTACATAAGCGTCTAAGTCATAAGATACTAGATGTTGAATAGCTCTTAGATAGAGAAGAGAATGATTGTTATTTAAGGTCGCCCTTCCTCAAAAATCGATCCTAGGTCAGGAATATCCAAATTCCATGAAAACTTTCAGGGTATGTTGGGGTTGATGAGCCATGGCTATAGTAAAATTTTCAGTCCTATAGCACGATCTTTAACGGAGATGTTCATCAAACAAGGGTCAAAAATAGCTCTTTAGTATCTCCAAGTTTTCACCCTTTTTTTTTTTTAATTCTTACTTTTTAAAGGAAGAATAGGTATGACAAATTCAATGACCCAAAAAATCGCTAGAAAAATGGCGCTGTTTCTATAAAGGTGTTCTTTTATGTGATACCAAAAAGGCTTATTTCTAAAAAAAGGGTCACGAAGGGGACTAGCTCTAGACACAAGCTTTCAAACAAAAAAAAAATTTGACTTTATCTCTTACTGTGATAGAGTTCTGCTGGAGATACGTTATTGAACCCATATTCAGAGAAAAACGGAAAATATTTTTCGATTTTTTGTAAAAAAAAAAGGCTGGTTTTTCGAATAAGGCGCGAGGAAAATCTTTCAAAATTTTTGGAAAAAAAAGAGGTGCCGAATAAAAATTTTTATCACGTATAACAGAGCAGACGACAGGCTATTTCCTCATGAATTTACCTCAATTTCGATGATTTTGGCGAAAAGTGACTTTTTTGAGGGAGTGGAGGAAGATGTCTTAATTGTCTCATTTGATTATACAGGGTGTTCCACAAGTCCGGGCCAAAAGTAAATTAATAGAATTCCACTATTTATCAAACTTAATCAACCGATTTTTTTTCCGATAATAGATATCAGTGTGAAGTTTTTGTTTGTCTGGACAAACTTCACAAATACTGTTGATAGTTATAACTTTCCACTAAAACATCAAAAGCAGTCCTTTTTTGAGCCACTTTCTAGTGTTTCTCTTTCAATACCTCAATTTCTTGAGTTTTTTGTGACTTTTATATACGTCACATCTTACATTATTGTTTATATGCATTCGTTGTGACATGTCTTTGCAAAATAAGCCTAATAATGTCAACTTCTAAGATCACGAAGCTCATAAGATCGTTTTAAATTTTGAAATGATGACTGATGATCTGAGGAAGACAAACCGATCTCAAGACCTTCAAGGTCGTGGAACTTGACAATTTTAGGCTTATTTTGCACCGACATATCACAACGAATGCATATAAACAACAGCGAAAGGTGTGACGTATATAAAAATCACAAAAAACGCAAGAAATTGAGATATTGAAAGAGAAACACTACGAAGGGGCTCAAAAAAGGACTGCTTTTGATGTTTTAGTGGAAAGTTATAACTTTCAACAGTATTTGTAAAGTTTGTCCAGACAAACAAAAACTTCACACTGATATCTATTATCGGAAAAAAAATCGGTTGATTAAGTTTGATAAATAGTGGAATTCTATTAATTTACTTTTGGCCCGGACTTTTGGAACACCCTGTATATGAACAGATGAAAATTTATCCTATGATACTATATAATAATCATGATTACAATGAAAAATACATCAAGAAGATTCTGCATTAATTCATACTCTATAGAATTCGATATATAAGATAAATTTGAATATAACTCACTATTCATAAATAGCTTTACATTGATCATTAGGACAAACCATACCGGCTGTATTTAAATATTTTGTAAGTTGTACTTCAGGATCATCTGGATCATTATCTGTCAACCAATCAGCATATTGTTCACAAGTCTGTTCATTATGTTCATTGAACCACTTGAAAAAAAAAAGATAAAATATATTCTAGAAACAATGAAGTAATATTTTTCATTTACTTTTCGACAACATTGTTGGCATTGTTGAAACTGACAATGAGGACATTGAGCACGAGCAATTCGATTATTATTATTAATAAGATTAAAAAAACTAGTACACTAAAACAATGACAAAAAAATACATTATAAATGAAAAATAATATATATATATAAACGTACTCGTGGATTACCACATTTTTTAATTTGTGAATCTCGTGTTGCTATAAATAGATTTTCATGATATTTATCAAGAACAAGTCTTTCATCAGTAAACCATTGATTTAACTAAATAGAACAAATTTAGAAAACATTAAAAAAAAAACATTCTTCTAAAACTAAATCATAAAAATCGATCGAAAAATATTATTGTAAGCTTACTTTTGATCCTAAATATTGGAAAAAATTTAATTTAACATCGTCGGAAATTTCAATTTCTTCTTGAAAACAAGTTAGTTTTTTTAACGCTTGAGGATCTCGAATTTCTTGAATTGCATTTCGATAATAGTCTTGAGCACAAGTTAAACAACACATATGATTACATAAATACATTGTCTCCATTCGACTACGTGGAAAAGAATCACAACATACTGGACACTCCATTGATAGAAATTTAATAGCATTATCTTGAAAATTTTCATGAATTGCTGTATCTTTGATTGAACATATATCTTTAATATCAGCTATACTAATATGTTCAAGACTAGCAACTGATACTTTGCATAAAGCATATGAAAATAGTTCAATTTTTAATCCAAATTGTTGGCCAATAATATGTGAAAGTTCACTATAGATCAATCGATACATTTTCTAAAAGATGAACAAACAAAATTTTAAGTAAGTCTTAAGATAAGAATAATATTTTTTTTTCATACAGAAAAAAGATTGTCATCAACATCTTGAGTATTATATTGTTGTCGAAGTTTGATAATAGCTGTTACAATATGTGTTGTATTTTTCCATTCCTTAATAAAAATGAAATAAGAAATATTTATTCTTTAATATAATATTTTGATAATGAATATATTCTTACATCGCCTTCATGTAATAACATTTGAGGAGCTGTATTTTCTTCTGTATCTTTATTAAGTAATTCCCATTGTTGTTGTAAAGGACGTATACTACGACCCATTGTTGTTGTTGTTGGTGTTCGTGAAATTTCTGGTTCAGGAGGTGGTTTCTTTAAGAAGAAAATAAATAAATTTTAAAACAAACATTAGTAATGAAACATACTAAGTTTGGTCGATTATGACGTAGTATTTCGAGTGCAATATCATCATCAAGATTTGCACGAATTAAACATTCATAATAAACTTCATCACCACAAGATGAATCACGAACTCTATCTTTCTGTTTTAATTGATGTATACGTTGATCAATTTCACTATCAATCAAATCATCATCAAATTCAAGTGAGTAAGGATATTTTTGTTTATATAAAAAAAGTAATAATTTTCGACGAATAAAACTATGTGCAGGTCGTCCACCATGTCTTAGTATAATGCTTTCCTAAAATAAAATAAAAAAAGATAAATTTAATAAAAGTAAAAAAATTTTTTTTTTTGCAAAACCTTGAATGATTTAATTTTTTCCAACATTTTTTCATTGCCTGCTTTAACTGTTGAAGCATTTGATAATGGTGGTGATTTTGAACGAAACTAAAAGAAAAGTACTTTATATTCATTCATAATTTTAAATTATATACTTACAGATGGACTTGAAGTCGATTGTCGTCTATAGTCGACAAAAAAAAAAGGATAAAGATTTTTCATAAACAAAGACTTCTTACTGCTGTTGTTCATCATCTAAACAAATTTATGATAGGTTTTTTTTTCTTTTTTAAAAAATAAAAAAACCTTACTTGTACTACGAACAGAATAAGCTGATATTGGACGTTCGCTGTAATTCTGAATTAAAGAAAAAATAATTGAAATTAACATTTAAAACATCAATAAAACAAAAGCTTTACTCTAATATACTCTTCAAAACCATTGAAAGAGCCATCTTTAATTCTTTTTAAATCATTATAAAATCTTCTAAATTCATTAGTAGCATTTTGACGACGTGTTACTTCACGATCTACATTAGTTGATTGATAAGTATAATTACCTCTTTGATCCAATATATAACCAAAATGTTGCAATAAACCTAATGCATGAGACTGATAACACAAAAAAAAAGAACAATATTCACATCAATGATACAATAAAAATATTACTTTTGTATTAAGTTTTTGTATAATATTTGGATGAAGACCTGTGACTTTTTGTAAATCTGCTTTAACTATATATGTAACAGGGAATAATACATACAATAAACTATCAATATCTTCCTGAATCTATCAGAAAAAAACAAAGATTTGATTGTAAAATTTTTTTTTGTGTGTGTTATTATTCACTACTTATATGATGATACATACGTGATTAGGACGGATATTGGCTTTAATTATTTGTTCAGCATCTATTATATGATACGTCGAAAATAGACTCATCTCAAACAAAATCAAAGCATTACGTTAAAAAAAAATGACTCCTTAATAAAGACTAACAATATTAAGTTGTCTGTATTTGTTTTTCTTTTTACACGTCGTTTGTTTTTTTTTTAATACTGAATTCACAGAAAAAAAAAATCTTCTATGTAAAAAACATCGTTGACTCTTTTCTCATTTTTTTTCTTTCTTTCTTTCTTTCTTTTCCTACTTCTAAAGCGGTACAATATTTATCAGCATAACATATACAAAAGAAAGGGAAAAAACCAGTAAATAGTTGGAGAAAATATATTACGATGAAAATCAAAGTAAACAAAAATATAAATCAAAACTATTTTTAAAAGAAATGATTTTATTACGAATTCAAAAAAAAAAAGATATAATTTTGAAAATTACATTTCAAAATCTTATATTTTATTTTTTTTTATTATTGTTGCTGTATGATTCTAAATTTAATTATCATGTCATATTAAATACATTGATTTTCTCGAGCATCTGAAATAATGTATTAAACAATTTTGTAGATGCAATAAATTGATTATTACAAAAGTTCTAAAATAATTGCTGATAGAATGAAAATAAAGTACACGATTCAATGTTGCATTTTTAAATATTTTATATGATTATAAATCTGTATTGACAGCACTATAAGATCTGTAATTAATGATGAGAGTTTCCAATAAAATACAAGACTATAAATGAAACATCTAACTAAAAGTAAAAAAAAAACCAATAGACGAAGATTATAATAAAAAAAAGCAGCAAGTTCAGGATATTGAACGTTTCCTGCGAATGAAATTTGAATTCTAATACAGTCAAAATATGTTATATACAATAAAACGATGAATCCGAATGTTTGAATATATACGATAAATCTAAAAAAAAATAATCCTAATAACACCTAGCTGATAGGATTCTAAAATCACAAGTTACTCATAATACTTTATATATTACTATGTTTATGACGATTGTCTGATATGTTCTTCAGTGAAATTTACTTCATTATTATAATTTATATTGGACTGATATATAGATAATACTGTATAGTAGTATTAAAAAGTTTCGATATACCAAGTTTATATTTCTTTATAAAAGGCTTAAGAAACCTTGTTTTTTTTTGTATATGGTCTCATAGTAAGAATAATGCTCTAGATTTCTGTGTTATTTGATCATTTGTCGGTTAGTATAATAATAATAAAATTTCAATAAAGAGTTGTTTGTTATAATTGGTGATAATAATATTAGATCAGACTTCCCTAGTCGACTCTCCCCCACAGAGTCCCCGGGAGTTCCCTAAAAAATGCGAAATCTCTGGTGAGTCCCCAGGGAGTCACCAAGCTAATCCCAGGGGAGTCTCTAAAGTATAAAAACTCTCCAGAGACTCACTGGGGAGTCTCCAGAGACTCACTGGGGAGTCTCCAGAGACTCACTGGGGAGTCTCCAGAGAATCCCTAATTTTTAGGGAGTAGGGAAAAAATTAAAAACTCCCTAGGGAATCCCCGCACAGGGACTCCCTGGTGAGTTTTTCTTTTTGTGATTTGATTCTATAAAATGCATAAATGTTTTAAATATATACTAAAATACATCTGTTTAGATATATCTATATAATTGGTTCTAGAAGCGTCCAGCTGATACAAAAAGAAGAGAGTCAAAGAAAAAGTACTAGACGTTTTTGTTTTATCTGAAAATCGTTAAATTTATTTCGCTAAGCCGTGTTGGCACTTTCTGGATAGATAGTAGTTAAAGAGTTAGACATATATATGTTGTAGGCAAAATTGAGATTCAGGCAAATTTTAAATTTGCCTAGGCAAAATTGGAATTCTAATTTTGCCTAGGCAAAATTGGAATTCTAATTTTGCCTAGACAAAATTAGAATTTTAATTTTGACTGCACATTGCTTGGGCAGAATTGGAATTCCAATTTTGCCTAGGCAAAATTAGAATGCGACTAGGGATAAATTCACGCAATCAAAAAATTAAAACTGAATAGAATATTTTTCTTTTTTATTCAACAATATTGTTCATTTAACTAAATAATTTACAAGACAAAATATTTTAATCTATTCACCCATATTTGTACAACTACCTCGTTTTGAATGATATTTTGTCAAACGAAAAACTTACATTTTGTTTTTTTTTACACGAGCATTGTTTTGTGGTGGACTTGCCTTTACAATGGCAAGTTCTACCAGTTATTGATGCGCGTACTTAAAGTTTACATGCTTCGATAAAGGTAATATCCTTTAAATCACCAAGTTTTCTCTCTTTTTTTTTTCAATCGATTCTACTTTTGATAAAGTACGTGATTGTATGAATTTATCTCTAGTTACATTCTAATTTTGCCTAGGCAAAATTGGAATTCCAATCCTGTCCAAGCAATGTCTAGTCAAAATTAAAATTCTAATTTTGTCTAGGCAAAATTAGAATTCCAATTTTGCCCAGGCAAATTTAAAATTTGCCTGAATCTCAATTTTGCCTACAACATATATATATTAGATAGTTAGATAGTAGATAGATAATGGAGGGCTAGGTGAATAGATGGATAGATAGATAGTTAGTTAGATAGATGAGAGTATATTTAGGTATAGATAGATAAGCAGATGAACATTACATCGATAGGTGGGTAAGTAGATATGTAGATAACTAGGTAGGCAGATAGGTAGGTGAGTAGGTAGGTAGGTAGATAGCTGGATAGGCAGATATGCAGGTGGGTAGGTAGATAGATAGGTAGGCAAATAGGTAGAATGGTAGATAGGTAGTCCTGGGAAAGAACGAAATTTGATTACGTCCCTAGGGACTCCCCTTGAGAATGAGGGGCTCATTATTGACTTTTAAGACCACTCCCTCTTAAATCCCCAGGGAATCCATATCGGGAATCCCCGGGGAGTTTTAGCAGGGACTTCCCGAGGATTTTATAAGGGGGAGTTGACTAGGATTTGTCTGCGATGTGTGTCCTCTTGATATTTTGTCTCTAATGTCTAGTTGTCTATACACATTAGGATATAGGAGAAGTGCTTGAGATAAAACAAAAAATAAATACTGAAACAAGTTCATGAAGTTTTTATTTGAATAATACTCTGAATCTAGCGTATTGAAAAATGTTCGATAAATGTATTCAATGAATGAAATTGAGTGTGAGAATGATCAAGACGATTATTTGGAATATTGAATGACATAAAGACTTAATGAATTTGTTTCAATATTTCTTTTTTTTTGTTCGATCGTCAATCATTTTTATATAATTGCTAATATGTATCAATGGCTAGACATACGAGAAGACAACATTAAGACGTGGATACGCATCAATAAGTACATCTAATATACTATTACAAACATAGATCATAACAAACAGTTCATATCATAATTTTATCATTATGATAGTATTTTATATAACTTCATGAAATAAGAGTAATAGTATATTTTTTTTAATGTTTTTAATTTTAAACAACTACTCATCATTCTTTAAATGGATATTTCATTTATAATTGAATAACAAGAAAGTTTTTACAATAGTTGAATTATGTAATTCTGTTTTAAATGAAATACTAATCAATTCGATATTAGACACTATTAATCTTAATTTCTTGTGTTAATATTTTAAATTTATCAAGATCGAGAAAATTTTTTCTAATAAGAACTAATCATACTATTAAGAAACTTATGATTCATAACTATTCTATGATATTGTTTTGATATAAAACTCATTCTAACATAAAGACTTATCTTCAAAATTGATATTTATTTCATATAATTGGACATTTTGTCCTTTAATTTTCATTCTTATCCTTCCGTCGAATGTAAAATTTTCGAATTCGAATTCGATTTATTGAAATTTTTCGGATCTGGACTAACTCGACACGAACGCGAGAAATGTGATTCCCCCTGTTTCTAAAACCCCACCATACAACTCTTCATTCCCCTACTTTGGAAAAATGTCTATGTAAAGCGTTCTTTTTTTTTTCAACATTCAATTACTCTTCGTTCTTGAATGCTAAGTTACACATCTATCTCAACAAAAATTTTCGTTTCTAGAAAACAACAATTATCATTATAAAAAATAATTATATTTTTCTGATTAAAAAAAGAAAAAATCAAAATATTATGAAATTATCTTTGTTGTTGTTTTTTTTTTTACATTATGCTCATTATACGCACACATTTTTATATGTAAGGAAACATTGGAAAACACATAATGAAATGTATTTTTGCTTAATCGAATGAAATTATGTAGCATGACGAAGAGCAGCTAAACGATTAGCTGTTGCTGTAGCTTCTTGTTGTGCTGGTGTTTGTACTGTTTGTTGAACAGTTGGCATAGCATCAAGTTGTGCACGAATATCTAAATTATTTTCATCAGCTATTTGACGTAAAAGATCTTGTACAGCATCAGTTGGTGTACTTGTTGCCATAGCTTGATTCATTGCATTACTCATTACTTGTTCTTTAACATCAAAATTTTCAAATGACTAAAAAAAATGATACAATTTTATTTATGTCTCGTTTTTTTTTTTGTTTTTAGAAATATAAAAATCAAAACTAAACAAACTTGTTCGAATTGTTCCATAATTTTAGCTAATTCTGACATGTTCATATCTTTATTCACATGTTCAAGCATTTTATTAACTTGTTTCATATTTTTAACCATAAGATTTTGTGCATTGGCTTGTTGAATCTAGAAGAAGAAAAACATAAATAAATAAATAATTATTTTTATTAGTTAATTTAATAAAGAAACTTTTTTACTTTAGAAATAACACTATCAATACGTGATGCCATAATAAGAAATTGATTATGTGATGTTCGATTTTGTATAGCAGTTTCAGCATAGATACGAGCTGTTTCAATATCACCAGATTTTTTCAATGCATTTAATGCTTTTTTTCGACTAGTTTCATATTTTTTTTCAGCTCCTGATGCTTCTCTTTCAATCATTTTTTTCGTAAATCGAAGATTAAACTCAGCATTAGTATTCATGACTTTACAATTTTAACTCAAAAGAATGAATAATAATATGAAATAAATAAAGGTAGTCAAATAAATGTTGGATTTCAACAGGTAGAATTTGGAAGACGTCATGGTTTTGTCATATTGATAGATGGCATTAGATCACTTTTATGCAAATGTCTTTTTTTTTTAAAGAGAACCTCATAGGATAAATTTTTTCCATCTCAAGGGAATGAATTAATAATCTAATGCGAGAACTCGGCTTATTTTTATGTTCAATGCTTATATTTTGTTTATATTATTTCAAAAAAGGTATGATTGATGTACAAAAAAAAACAACCATACATGGTACCATTTTTCATCTGATCTTAACAACGTATATTTTTTTCAGATCTCTTTTATTGATTAAAATTCATTGACAAATATTTTTATAGAAATAGCTAATACAAGTATTGATTGTGACACTGTTATAGTTAAACTTTGGCGAAGTCATTCCAATGTAGAGATGAAAAATACCGGTCGTTTTTTTATAGATCTAGTTATTCTAAATACAATAGCTTGTGATGCAGAATTTTCAAATATCGATAGCGACATTGCCTTATGACTCAATAGAAAGAATGAAATCTTTCTTTGAAAATAACAACACTAAATTAAACAAATTGAGTTATTGATTATTTTATCGAACAATTATTAATTGAACTATTACTCTACTAATGTTTGTCATTAATGATAACATTCTAGAATTCAATGTCCAGTTTAAAATCGAATCTTTAGATCTCATTTTCATTCTGTTAAAAAAGAATTATTGCTTTCTTGCGTTTTAAATAAGTACGACTTTTTCCAATAGGATCCGAATTCAGTAACTTCGTCATATAGCTTATCATCATCTGTAGATAAATTTGTATTAAAAAGAAATTCTTTTAATAAAACAATATTGCCTTTCACTTCTATAATTTGTTCTCAAGTGCAATCCATTGATCAGATTTTCTTTCTTATGATTTTATTTACATTAGTAGTTTCAAACATCAAGTTCTTATTAAGTAACGAGTCGAATTTGAATATGAGATCATATCTGGTATCCGAACTGATTTTTCGGATCGAATCGGGTGCTGGACACTATTTGATTCCATTATAGAAGAATCGCATATTTTTATTTTGCCAAAGCAATCTTATTCATTAATAACATATGATGCAAAAAGTGATTGTACAAATATCGATCCCTATTTCTTTTCGATAGAAAAGTACTGAAAGAAGTTTGTTTTTTTTTTGAGCTGGAGATACAATTTTTTTTTCCTGTTTTGAATCATATATAAATTATTTTTATACAACAACGTAGTAGAAAAGAGAAATACCGTTAAAAAGAATGCGCATTTTTTTTTAATAAAAGAATTCCGCAAAATGTCGATTCTATAAATAGATTCTGAAAAGAATATTTTTTTTTATCAGTTGATAGGAAATTTTCTCCTCTATTGAACAGTGTATAATTAATATTTGTCACAGATTAATAAACGAAACAAGATGAGAAAAACGAGAAACACTAACACAATAAATTGGTGGCTTTAATATAAATATGTCAAAAACATCTTGTAAAACGACAGTTAATCATTATTAACTGTCGTTTTACAAAATATTTTTAACAAGTTCATCTAAAAATTACAAATTTATTGTGCCAGTGTTTCTCTTGTATTATATCTATTAATTTCTAACAAATATAAACCAAACACTGTTCGATAGAGGAGATAATTATCTATTAACTGATAAAAAACAAATATTTTTTTTAGGACTTACTTACTTATCGAAGAGATAAAGAAAGCAACATTTTATGCGATTTTTCTGAATCTCACAACAAGTGCAAATTCTTTCTAAGAGTGCTTCTCTTATCAACATGTTACAAAAATAAGTTATATAGAATTCGAAAAAGAAGAGAAAGCTCTATTTTCTAATTAAAAAAAAAACAAAAGTATTTCTTCTAGTACCCATGATAAAGAGGAATCAACATTTGTGTATAATTACTTTTTACATCATACGTTATTTATTTTAAAATCTACGATCGAAACTAAAAAAAATTCTCAATAAATAGTCAATATTCAAGCGCTTTTTTTTTGAAATTTAATTCGAAATAATAATATAACTTTTATGATCGATATCTGATAATTTCTTCATTTTTTGTTTTCTCGATTACAATTTCTAATTATGATTTCTTGTGATTCTACCAATAATTATCCATCAACTAATAACAATACTAATTTATGTATTGCTATACTTCCTAATAATACTAGTAGTAATTGTGATAAAACTCAAAATCGTTATGGTCAACGTGCAGGTATATATCGTTCATCTAGTTGTTATCGTCCACTTCAACAACTTTATAAAACAATATATTCACCAATATGTAAAAATCGTTCATCACATATTAATTTTGCTTGTATTTGTCGTCCATCAGAACGATATAAAACAACAAATATGACTTATGGTAGTTTTCATTATAATAATTGGGCATTTGTACAAAAAAATCGACCAATTACTTATGATAGAGAACTTTTTGTACAATGTTATGAAAATACAAAAAAACAACAAAAATTAAATTGTCAAAAAAAATGTAACAATCGTTTTAATGAGTAAGATATTTATTATTATATTATATAGATATTCTCAAAAAAAAATATATATATATTTAGTGGATATGATTCAAATGAAAAACAATATTGGATTCAACCAACATGTGATTCATGTTGTCCAACTGATTGTTGTAATAATGTCACATTAAATCCTTCGAATTGCTAAACATATTCTTTTATTTTATGATTCATAAGTACTCAACTGACGAGAGAATCTTTCCAGATGTTTCTTGCCTATAGAGATTAGATAGTATTCTAGTAATAATTCTAAAACAGATTCGAATTCCTATTAAGATTTGAAAGTATCATTGAAATTTTAATATACGTAGCCGTATTTATCATAGACTCCTGTAGGATCGTTGGTTTTCGCAAAAAAAAATCGTATTTTAAGAAACTATTTTCATTTGAAGGTCTCATATATAGTAGCTGGTATGAAAAATTTCAGACGTTGTATTTTCAAGTTATGAATTTTTCAAAAATAGCCTTTTGTTTGAAATGTAATAGATAATAAAAGAATATTTTTGAAAAGTGCATTACAAATTTTGAAACTCTTCATACCGCTCATGTAAAAACAAAAAAAAAAAGCAAACAAACTAAGTGATTAAAATCTATAAAACTCATACACTTTTGATTGATTATTAATAGTATATTGACAAGTTTAGTTTTTTTTCGGATGTCATCATTTGGTGAAAACATTCTCTGATTGGAACTAGAAGCAGAGATGGGCAGCTCCGGTTGCCAGTTCTGACGAAAGTTGGTGAACCATCGACCCAGGACAGAATATACATACGTCGAATTTAACATCATTCGACGCAGAAATGTTTGCTCTTTCCAGCTATGTATTTATCTTGGCCCTTGTCTTCCATTGAGAAGAGTATTCATTGAGACAAAGTTGTTGGAGCCGGTAGTCGAAGCGGAAGCTGAGTTCGACCGGCACCAACGACTTTGTTTCAACGAAAGACAACAGTTAAGTTAAACATATAGCTGGAAAGAGCAAACATTACTGCGTCGAATGATGTTAAATTCGACGTATGTATAATCTGTCCTGGGTCACTGGTTCACTAACTTTCGTCGGAGCCGGCAACCGGAGCTGCCCATCTCTGACTAGGAGCTAGTTGATGCTTTATTATTAATCGATTATGTTTTTTACAAGTGAAGTTACTCTATGCAAAAGATGATAGTTTCAAGACAAAATTTTAAAAAAACACAATTATATCGAAAACTTAGGATTCTACAGAAATGTTTGATAATTAGACGTAATAAAACAAGTTGAATAGTTCTCTCAAGTCTCAATAGGAATAGAAATTTTTTTTAGAAATTTTTCACAGAAATATTATCAAGTATTTTATAGGCAAGAAATAGAAGGGAGACATATGAAAAAATTTCTTTGTTAATTGTGTAGAAAATATATTTATTTTGTTTTCAATAGAATTTTCTTTTTAAAAACAGATAGATCATATTACATGTGATTTTATTAAAAAATAAATACATATGTAATTTAAGTTAAATCATTCTTAATTCTTACTCATATGTCAATCATGATCATTGGATATGTCTAATAACCTTGATGAATTTTCATATGTTTGAGATGATTTTTCGTATAATATTCTACATTCATTCATATATATATATATATTAACAACAATATTCCATAAACCAAAAAAAAAAAAGAAAAAGACAACATAGAACACACATACATAATAAAAAAAAAACACGAAACATCAAATAATTCAATGTTATTTATTTCTATGATGAATTTTTTTTAAGAAAATGATGAAATTTTGGAAAAATATTTAAACGTAAACTTAATGAATATAATTCATCTTTTGTTAATTGTCCATTAGCTAAATAGATAAAAGAAAAATTTTAATTAAAACAATAAATAAATTACTAACAAACCATCTTCATCAAATATGAAAAATATTTTATCAATCATTATACGTCGATATCGTTCACGTCTTAATTGTCGTTCTTGTTGTTGATTATTGAAATTTCTTTGATTATAAACTTGTACAATACCATTATTTGAATAACTCGAAATAGGAATATGTCGATAGATTTTATAATTATTAAATTGAAGATGATTCGAAGGCATAGAAAAATCTCTTAATTTAATTGTTGTTGTAGTAGAAAATTGTTGAATATTCGATACACTTCCTAATTGATTAGAATTGACTAAAAAAAATAAATAAAAATTTTTTTTTCATTAACAAAAAGAAAAATTTATTTTACCTCGATGAATAGGTAAAGCATTTGTTTGTGATGTTAAAATTAAAATACAAAATAGAAATAAATAAAATTGATTTGTTAAATTAATTTTAATTATTAAATCTTTATCATAATTAAAATATTCATTTGAATATAAAATTTGTTTATAATATTCATCATTATTTTCTTCCATTGATATTAAATAATTCATAATTATACATATATATTTCAATTGATAACTAGAAAAAACGAGTTCTAAAAAAAAACAAAAAAAAAAGTAAATCACTGTTTATATATCTACAAAGAAAAAAAAAACGAAGATTTTTGTTTTTCTTATTCTAATTAATACTTACAAGAGAAGATTACCGAGTGGCAAATCACTTTTAAACTAAAACTCTCTATTCAATCGATAGATCCTAGAAAATAGGTAAATACTATAGAGTGATTCTTATGCTTCTAAATGTCTGTTATAATAATCATATATATTTTAAAAAGTTCACATCTTCGAAAATAAAATGGTAAAAGTTTTCCTACAAGATCTAGTTTAATCGATGCTTTGATTTGAGGCAAAGTGTCATATTAAAATTCAAAAGTATAATTTTATTTGAAAACTAGAGTCATACAGGATAAATATTTCAATAACAAAGGCTAAACAGTTCACAACATTTTAAGATAGTTATCTATTCGCTAGATTCTATTGATTAAATATAGTTTCAGCTTAGTAATGTTTTGATCATATAGAAATCTTTCTTCGTTAATATTATTTATCACGAGAGAAAGAATAAAAAAATTTTCTGTTTTTTTATTTACAAGAAAAATAAAACAAAAATATTACTATTGATAAAGAATTAAATTTATTTATTTTTTTTTACCGCAATATATAACATGTCATGTTCAATGAATAAATCGATTGTTGATATTTGTATCATAGACAAAATAAGCTTTTAGTGTAAATAGAATATAATCGTTGAGACAATTGACTCATACACATGTTGATGATGATTATACTAGGTTTTTATGGTTGGTGTATATATATATATTCTAATTATCTTCGTTGTCATATATAGATATATATAGATGTATATGTAAAACAGTAAAAAAAAAAAAAAAGAAGAACACAAGCATATTGTGTCTCCTTGATTGACATAAGAAAAGAAAAGAATAGGAAGATGGTATAACCACAATATAAAATGAACATACTATGATTCTTTACTATAGAAGATGAAGGTAATTTAAATTTTCATCACAGATAGTGATCCTTGATTTTGTCACACAAGAGTTAATCTTTTTTTTCCCTCTCTCTCTCTCTCTCTCTTTACCTAGAAGTATCGAAAATGATAATGTTCAGTCAAGGACATATCATATTACACTTAAAAACTAATAGATATGATTGATATATATATATAAAGTATAAATTTTTAGAGAGAAGAAAAACTGTAGTTTGATTCTATTATAAGAAAATAAAAAATTTATATCTTCTAGGTTTGTAATCAAAAATTTTCATTCTTGTTTAGTATAATAAAAGAAAATAAATGCGTAGATTAAAATTAGATTAACAATATATCTTGATAAGATAATTATCACACCCAAAACCGAAAACAAACAAATTTCTTCCTTTTCTTTTTTGTCAAAAAAAAAGAAAAAAAGCAATTACATTACATAAATACATGTTTGTCATTGAACATTCTGAAAACAAAAAATATCCATCATAAAATTGTTCGATTATCTAAATAAACAATTTCAATTGTACAAAAAACTTGTTTTGAAATAACACTAATGGATTCTACATCAAGGACATGACATATGTTGTCGTGCCCTATTCTATGAAATTCTTATCGTCTTTTCTCATGTATTACACTGATTATCATCATCAGATAAATATGCCATTCTGGTGTAGACAAAAAATAAAAAAAAATTACATCTGTATCAAAACGTTTTATAGCTTAAAACATACGTACATCTATCTTTATATATATGTGATCGACGATCATATCATCCTTCATCATCAACAGAAGAGATATGGACGAAATAACATACTCAATAATGATACGTCATTATTATGATGATTTGTAAAAAAAAAAAAGAGGAAAAAAAGAAAAGGCATAAACTTGATGATCTTGAAAATACGAATCTACTCAGTGTTTTTTTTTTGGTTTTATGAAGAATTAACAAGACATATTATGAAAAAAACATATACTCGCAATTAGATTCATTATCGCTTGACAACTACACCTTTTATAATTGATGAAGGAGAAAAATGTCATCTTCAATTGATGACAAATAGTTAAAGATATTTTTTTTTCCTTGTTATTTTTGTTATTTATATTATTTTCTATAATTACTGGTCTTTTTTTTAATATCTAACAAAAGATTAAGATGATTAGATCTGACTTTTAAACAAAATACATTTGAATAAAAGATAATGAATAATAATTTTTTTTTTTTTTGTATGAAATAATTCAATCGAAATATAAAGAATATTTAATAACTTACGTTTTTCTTAATCGGGTGAGTAATGTCCGCTTTTTTCTTTTCTTTATCTTTAGTTTCACTTCTCTTCGTACACTTATTTTTCTCTTCTACTTACCTCCAAAAAAAAAAGAAAAAGCTAAATATCCTTTCTCTCGTCCTCTTCTGCTGCTGCTGTTGCTTCCTTTTTGTCATCAAACCCGATGGTAGTTGATGTTGATAATATATGTATACGTATGGCAACTAGGAATGCAAATTTTTAGGATTGTGAAGTGTCCATTCTTGTCTAACAGTTTAATCATTCAAAAAACACCCTCTATACTTGTGGATAAATGTCACAGAAAAAAAAAAACAAAAAAAGCCACTTCAGAATATACCTACGTATTGTATAAATTGGAATGGTATTGATTCATCTGTGTGGTTGCACGGTATCGATTGTTCTTTATTTTGAGGCATATTTTTTTTTTGCTCTTCCACATTTAATGAAGAAGAGAAGAAAAAAAAGAAGAAAAGTCACAGAAATAATCGCTTTTAATCAACACAAAGCATATTTATGAATATTTATTCGATAATCGATAGTTCAAGGTCGTTAAAAAACAAAGTTTTTATCTGTTTCTTTTCTTTTTTTTTTGTATATATATATATCTTATATATGATAAAAAAATTTAAATACTGTTTCATTCATTAATATAATATACAACATAAAAAGAATATATATATATATATAATTTTTATTGTTCAATATACTCTATATATTTTATCATGGTTGAACAATTTTGATTAATACTAATTTAAAATAAAAAGAGAAAAAAGACTATCAAATCTTTATATTAATATGAACAATCAAAATGGAATCATGTTTCTTTTTATACATTGTATATATGCTGATTATTCAAGATAAGTAAAGTTATAATCGCGTTATATCAGTGATAATATGAAGTATATTAATATATAATGATTTCATACTGAATAAATGACTGAGAGAAAAAGGAAAAAAAAAAAAAGTAAAAAGAAAAATATTATATTAAGAATTTTATGTATAGATTGACATTCATTGTTGATAAATGATCTACGTATGATCAATATTTGTTCTAAAGATTCGCATTCTAATGAAAACAAAAATTCGATAGTTACATATATATATATCATCACGTATAATGACAAAAGTCACTGCTACATGTTATGTCTGTCCAACAAGTTGTTAATATAATACTATATTCATAAGGTGAGAAATTTTCTCGTTTTCTCTTTTTTTTTTGTATATATCTATATAAAATAGTAATACTATAACTATTTAAATAAAATATCTAATCAATGATATGTTAAATCAATATTTAAAAACGAACAAACAGCATACTAATGATACAGACATCATATGTCCTTGAACAAAAACCAGCTGTAATAAAAAAAAGAAACTAAATGAATAAGTTATTTCATCGACCTTATATTATTTACTACATTGGAATGTCTTATCATACGTATGAATAAAAAAAAAAGTATGAATACATGTATATGTATCAATCAATTCAATATTAAGTGTAGACGAGTATTAATTAAGAAAAAACTATGATGTACACATTTTCTTTTTTTTTTGTGATTGATGAGAAAATCTTTATTTTTTTTTCTTATGTAATACTGAACAACTTGTCTACATCATAAGACAAATATAAAGGAAAAACAAAAAAAAAACATAAATGAGTATTAAAATTTATAATAAAAAATAGAAAGAAAACTATCGTCCATTTGCACCAGCAGCAGCTCCAGGATCTGTAAAAGCACTTTGAAGAACAAAAATAACGACTATTGGTAATATATATTTCCACTAGAAAAAGAAAAAAACATAAGCAAATGTACTTTTTTTTTTTGTAAAAATAGTTTTTTCTTTTTATTACTCACATATTTAAGTACAAATGGTCGATTATCATTTTCTTGTGTATTTAATTTTGCTTCTCGTTCACGTTTAAGTTTTTCAAGAAAATGTTGTATCTCAGGTCTATTATGAATATAAAAACAAAATAAAAAAAAAGAGATAAATTCTATTTTTACTGTGGTCCAAGTTCATTAAAATGTAAATGTAAAGGAATTTTATATATCAAATCATTTTGTTTTTCTAATAAAGCTATATTCGAAATACTACATGTTGAATTATTTGTTAGAATATTTACACTAACAATATAACCATTTTCATTGATAAATAAATTCATAGTATATTGAAAATTTGCTTGTAAAACTAGACACTAAAATAAAAAAAAAATGATTTGAAATTAGAAAAAAAAACAAACAACATAGATATATTTTATAAATTAAAAACAAAATATTTTTACCATTGGTATGGATGTCATGACATAATCTTGGAATGAACGACGTTTAAAATGAACTTTTAATGTATAATATGAACGTTTATTTAATTGAGATTCCTTAAAACAAAAATAGAAAGACATTTATTTATAATTTGATTTTAACATTATGAATTAAATAACTTCAATTAATCGTTCATATTGTGAAGATGATATAGTACGTGAAGGTGATAATTCAATATTTGATTGTCTTGAAAGACGAATATTAGTTTTAGCAAATGATACAAATTTTCCATCTATCACATTATCTTCAATATTAAGAGATACAATATCATCAATTGTATCATCAAATGTCTACAAAAATAAATTTTCATAAATTTTATTCAATAAATTAAATTTAGTTTACCGATATAACTTTTAATTGTAAAATAAAAATGATAAAAACAATAAAGTTAGACATTTCAATTGATTATGTGATACACAAAATAAAGTCTCATGGTATATCATATTTCTAGCGACTTATATCTTTTTTTTATTCGAGATTGTACTCGACCAATCGATGATTACTTATACGATAGCCACGTTTTTACTTGTTCACTAGTAAAATAACTATGGATATAGACAATGAATTTGTAGGAAAAACTGTTATATTAGGAAATAAAGTATAAATTAATATATTTGTATTTCAATGAATAAATAATTTGATTTATATTTTATAGACAATTGAACTTGATAAACTTAGTCCTGAAGAACGTTTTCGAGTTCAACATGAAGCTATACATGAAAAACATAAAGGACATGAAGCTATGCATATGGAAATGGTACTTGTTTTACTTATTTCACTTGTTGTTTGTCAATTTGTATTATTATTTTGGAGAAATTATCATCTTCGATCTTATCAAGTAAATAATTTAAAAATTTATTGTTTTTTTTTCTTTTTTTGAAATGAAATTTTTTGTCTTTTAGTTTTTTACTCTTATTGCAATGTGGTTAATTCCATTTGGTTTATCAATTCATTTTTTTTATATTCGTTTTATTATAATTTGGTGTTGTTTTACAATTATAACTGTATATGTTACACGTCGTGCAACACGACAACCTATTCAACCAAATACACCAAGGTAAAATAAAAAAAAGAAAATTTAGTTTTTCAAAATAATTCAATGATATTTTTGCTTTGAATAGATTAGTTTATAAATGGTTTCTTCTTGTTTATAAAATCTCATATGGACTTGCTATTAGTGGTTATTTTCTTGTAATGATGACTTTTCTTGGTATTAATACTCTTCTATTAATATCTCCACAAGTAAATATTTTAAAATGTATGGTTAATTTTAATATTAGTTGTCAATTGTAGACTGCACTTGATTTTGGAATATTAATTATGTTTTATGGAATATATTATGGTGTACTTGGAAGAGATATGGCTGAATCATGTACTGATCGAATGGCATCGAAAATTGGAGTATGATAGGTTTTTTTTTGTAAAAAAAAAACAAATTTATAAAATTCTAATCTTTTTTTTTTTATTTAGTATTATTCCGAAACAGGTCTACCTAAACGTGCATTAGAATCGAATACATGTGCTGTTTGTGCTAATCCAATCTTAGTACAAAATAATGAAGAAGCATTAATTGAACAAACATATAAATTACAATGTGGTCATACGTAAGTATTATGATATTTGTATATTCTTTTGAAAATTTTCTTCTAATTTAATTTGATTAGTTTTCATGAATTTTGTATACGTGGTTGGTGTATTGTTGGTAAAAAACAAACATGTCCGTATTGTAAAGAAAAAGTAGATTTAAAAAGATTATTTCCAAATCCATGGGAGGTATGTTTAATAAAAAAGAAAAAAAATATTTGTTATTCATAGTTTGGTTTTGTTTGTTGTAAATTTAGAAACCTCATGTACTCTATGGAAATTTACTTGATTGGGTTCGATATTTAGTTGCTTGGCAACCATTAATTTTAATGATTGTACAAGGTGTTAATTATATACTTGGTCTTGAATAGGTGAAATAATATTTATGTCAATTATGAGTTATACAGACAATTTTTCTTTTGTGTTTATTATCATTTGACGATATATATAGGAATATGAATATATATATATGTATTATTTTTGGAATTATTGTCGAATGTGTTCAAATTTTTTGTTTCTTTTTTTTGTTTTGCAGATTGTTTTTTTTAAAGAATGAATATTAAAGATCAATTAATTAGTTTCGGATGGTCAATAAAACTAGATTTTTTCGAAAAAAATGCACAACAAATTGATATCATTGAAAAACAATTACTTGACGTGAATATATTTGTCTTTTTAAAATTCTGATACATTCAAATTGTCTGAAATTTACTCTAAACAAGATTTAAAAATAGCTCATTTAGAAAACCAAGTATTGTTCTATTCAGACTTATTCTATAGTTTTAATTATGTCTTTTGTCCGAAAGAGTATGTAAGAATGGCGTGCATTATAGAAATCCATTTCTTTTTAAATTAATATTTTTTAAGTGAAGAAAAGATATGACAAGTTCAATGACTCAAAAACACTCTGCTACACTGCATCTTGACATACTCTTGCAAACAAAACAAAAATGAATGTGTAGAATGAAGGCTCACAGAGAATGTTGGGTTGTGCAAGTAAAAAAGTAGCAAGAAAGAAAAAACGAAGTTTTCTTGCTTGTTCTAAAAACAGATTGTTTATCCAGCAAATAATGATAGAGACCATCAAAGATTTTTAACAAAAAAGAAGGTGTCAAATAAAAAATTCTGTCATTTATGAAAGATTATGCCTCAGGCTATTTTTTCATGCATTTTTTTTAATTTCCTTTTTTTCTTGATGAAAATTGACTTTTTGTTTGGAGAGAGAGATAGAATGAGTAAATCTTAATTCATTATTTCTTTTTAATTTAATAGAGTGATTTAAGAGAAATTGGTAAAAAATCTTTGCCTGAAATAGCAAAGCTTGATCAAGTATGAAGAAAAGAGAAGAAGTTGATTGATATGAAATTTAATTTATATATATACATATATTTAGACAACAAAACCATATATTGTACAATTACATAAAACTCAAAATGTATCGGCATCGAAAAATAAGGAAAGATCATCGACTAGACCACATCTTTATCGATTAACAATAACTGATGGACATATTTTTCAAAATGCACTTATTTTACCATCACTTAGAAATTTTAAGTAAATAATCATATTGAATTTTAACCAAAAAAAAAAACCTTATTGCTTTTGCAAATCATTAGTTTAGATACACCACCTGGTGTTAAACTTTTATTAAAACCACAAACAAAAATTTCTAATGGATTTTATATACTAAATGATCAAACATGTGAATTACTTGGTGGAACAGTAAATGAACTTGTTCATGAATGGAAATTAAATAAAGTTTGGATCTTAATGCAAACTTAATTAGAAAAACTGTTTCTTGGATTTAGCTTATGGATACAAATGTTCGAACATTAATTGGTGAAGGAACACCACCACCTTGGGTTCCATTCAGTATGACCCATGAATTAGTGACAACAGGTTGTTTTATATTTTCAATTGTTTATTGATTTTTTTTTCTATAATTATTTACTATAATTATAAATAGTTGACACTTCTAAACGTTCGATGGATATAGTTAAAATGCAAGAAACTCATGAAGAAGATCCTGAATATGTTTGTCAACGTCGTGCAGTTATTGATAATATTATTACTGGTCGTATATCGAAAAAGCAAAGAATTAATAAACGAAAACTTATCAACGGTATAAATATAGGAAAAATTTTTGAACTAGAAAGTCAACCAATGGTAGAGGAAAGACCAAAAACAGCTTCTACGTCTTCGTTGTCAATGTCGGTTATTAATGAACTGATAAATATAGCATCATCGATTGAACCACTTAAAGCTAGTATTCGATGTAAGTAGATATGTTGAATTGAAATGAATGATCCGTTATTTTGATCATTTTAGTATCAAAACCGAGAAAAAAACAGGCTACAAGTAAATCAATTAAAAAGAGTAAAAAGCGAGCGCCATCGACTCGTAAAAGAATTGCTAAGCGTAAGCTTGACAATGATGATAATCGATCAAAACGCGACAATCGTACAGGATGTAAACGACAACGTCGAGGACGTGCTGATAGTGGACGCAAAAAGGCACGTCCAAATGAAGATATTACTCCGATTGATTCTTTTGTTTGATTTTCTTCAAAACAAATTAATGTTTTGTATGGAAGTTTATTGTTACTTGTAGAGTTAACAAATAATCATACAAAATAAAGTCAGATATAGACAACTGTTATCTAAATCGGTTTATTTTTCAGCTGCCATTGTCTTCTGTGAACATGTAGAATAAAAACAAAAGAGTAAAGATAAACATTTATTAAGCTCAAGAAGACGAGAATTTGTTAAAGAAAGATCGGCATGCAATCACTTACTAAAGATGACGATTTTCTGAAAATTTCACGTTGACATTCATGTGCATAGAAAAATGTGAAGACATCGAAAGATGTGGCAATGCGATAGGCTTCCCAAGCTGTATCTAATTGTCACATAAATAATCCATTAATGATTTTTTCACGATATAGTAACAAATGAAAATACGAAACGTAGATCTAACGTATGTAGATGTTCTAATTCTTTCTATTGGTTTTTTGGTGAAGTAAAACCATGTGGTGAAAAACCAAATGATATGTATGTGGAAGTACAAAGAACACAATAGATACTTACGAATATCAAATAATTTAATTGAAAAATATAGGAAAAGTTGTTTCAGTACATAATAAATGTTTCGATTTTTTAATAGACAAGATTTTATGTCATTGCTCCTTCTTAGCCTTGTCCTAATTTCTACACTTACAACTACTATTGCATTATGGATAAACACTGCTTTTGTTTCTTTTAACATTAACAGGTCATCAATAATTTTCTGGCAAACTAGAAAGGGCATTTATTGCTATTGTAGTCTGTTTCTCTAGTTCAATTATATCATAATATACCTTCATTCCTAAAGTATGTTTCAAAAGAAGAGTCGAATCGCCAGTACAAAGATGAGAATGAAATTGAAAAAAATTTGATATAAAGTGAATACGAAGTCTAAAAAGAGTAGTTTCAAAAACAGGACCTTATGAAGCATCACTAAGTACTTAGATCATACCAAAAATAGTAGCGGAGGTACTCTAATTCCTTATAAATACCTTTAAGAAACTTTCTTTTTATATAGTCTGATAGAGAAAAAAATACTCTAATCTTCTATGCTATTTGATCATACTTCAACAAATATTATAATAATAAAAGTTTGAAAAAAAAACTGAGTGAGTATTTTATGAATAAGTTTTAATAAGATCAAGATAGAGAGCTGTGCTTTTCACCGTTCGACAGAGGGAATGAAGATGTATCTAGCCATATACTTTAGATTTTTGTAAGGTTTTAAATCAACTTCTTTGAAAATAAATCTACTTTGCGAGGAGTATACAGCGAATTTTTGATCGTAAGGTATGCATTCAAACTGTCAGTGGCAAATCTACAAACTGCATAAGGTTGGCATGTTTACCATTTATTATTCAGGAGATAGAGATATTATAGTCAAAGCTGTAAATAAATTTTCTAGCAATTTTTGTGAAGAGATTTGTGTCTGCTGTTTGCCTTTTAATAAAAAAAAAATAAAACATGTTTTTGACACTTAGAAAATTGATCAAACAAACTTGAAACAACTTTTTTGAAAAATTTATAATATATGACTCGATGCATCTTTATTTTGTTCCGAAGAAAAATTAGTCATAAAATGCTTGGCTTTTTTCAAATAGATTGAATACAGCCGTCTCTTATCGAAATTATATGCTTATGATATTAGTGAAAGTAGTTCAATAACATAGAAAAATATAGGGTTCTTTTCTCTATCAGACTATATAAAAAGAAAGTTTCTTAAAGGCTTTAGTAAGAAATTAGAGTACGCCCGCCACTATTTTTTGTATGACCTAAGTAATAGAATAGTGAAAAGCGATTCTAATTCGAATCTAAATATAAGTTAAGATAATCTATGCGGATTCACACTCTATTTATACATGACTTACTAATTTCGACTTTAAACCAAAACAATAATTCAAACACAGCAATGTATTCCTATTCAAAGTATTGTTTTAAATCTAAAGACTCTGTTTAAATTGATAAAAATGCGTGGCACAGTCAGATGAACACCATACCACAGTGCCTAGGAGTAGTATGAAAGGTCAATAACAGAAAAAAAAAGAATTTCTATGTACTTCAGGATTTCTGAATATATGAAAGCTTAGTTTTAAAATTCTATGGACCGAAAATTCAAAATAATAATTCAAAATTTATGTCATGACTCGTGAGACATTGTAAGAAGGTTCACTCTTTTTTTCTATTCTTCAACTTTCATGAACGATCGTTTCTCACAAGAATCAAATAATTAAAATTCAAAACAGTTGTATAAATAGATCCATAAAAATTCAAGTTTAAAAGCAATACCAATAAATGTAGAACCCAAAACTCGTAAGTCAAACAATACAAGAGTCATAAATATTGAAAAAAGTAGTCATTCAGAATCAAATAGACAGTGATTTTAAAAAATGTATTTCAGACAAATAAACAGACAAAGTCTATTTTATTCTTTATCATTCTATCGATTCAAGACACTTCCATATAGAAGAATAAATTTTCAGATAAGCAGTTATTGAAATCTTCTTTTCGTTCATTTGAATATTTATTTCAGAAAATAAATTTTGAGGCCTGAAAATCCATTGTTTTTCATGTGACTATCAAGGTCGATTGGGCGAATAGGGAAGGAGATCAGTAGAGTTTTCTCGCTCCATAATTCAACATTCATTTCCAATCGTATTCCGCAAAACATATCTTCGCGCAACAACTGTCTTTCATGTTTTGAACCAGTGTAAGGTACCAAATAACCGTGTTTGCTATAGCAATGATGATGGATTTAAACATTATCAAAGCTTTTGAAATGGTATCTCAAGTTGTGGATGAATTTATTTCGATATTTTTTCACCCTACCTTCACTTTTCTTGTTTTGTATTTAGAAATGATCGTGATAAATATGGTCACATTCAGTCTTGCCTTTGTCGTCGTTATTTGTATTCTTGTCATGAGTGTCGCACAGCAATGTTCCTTGACTATCGAAGATCTTTTCTCGTGCGTCGATAGAATTCCTATTACAAAGTGTACGATGGTGCAGGTTCGCTTCGATCTTGAAAGGAGAAAAGAAAAATAGTCCATCTTTCGACTGTCTTGCGGTATAGGATGCTATCTAGAGTCAATTTCATGAGTTCAACATCTTCCTTAGAACTATTGATAGCTGAAATTATGTACAGAAAGCTCAGCTGACTCCGATTCATTTTTGCTCAACGCTTGAGCTCTGCGTACACAAGGAATACATACGTCATAGTCACAAGAACTGGTATGTCACTATCTAGTCCGTCTGTTATCATAGGAATGTTTCAAGAGAAGCAGTCGCAAGTGGTTTTCTTTGGGGGGTATGACTGTGGATATAGGAAAGGGGTCTTCTATACACGCAGACTCACACATGTACTGACACTCTGATTATAATAACATTGCTTGTTGTTATCGCTTGACATATAGCGTACAGCTCTCTATTAAACAAGCATACCACAGCGCGCACTGCATACAATTATAGGTCACCAGAATATTGATGTTAGAGTAAATTTGAATTTTCTGAATCTTTCAATACTTTTTTCTCGTGGAAATCTCAATAATGGTATTGCCTCATATCATTAGAAATCAACGAACTAAATTTTTTATGACATATCCAATTTATTCTTTTGTGAATACTACACATTTTTATTTCTCGTATAAAAAACGATTGGAAATACTGTAAAACTAAAAGCTAACAGTACATCTTTTAAAGACAGAACACCTTTATTACATCATTTACTTAAGCATTGAGTTTTTGGATATTGGTCACATTTATCACATCCTCTTCATTGTCATACTCTTCAAATGGTCTAAGCGTATTGTTGGCATTAGTCGTTTGATATGTTTGTTTCGATTGATGCGCTTCAATATACTGGTTCGCTTGATATATATTACGTTGTGTGCGAGCTATTTTTGCTCGTCGAGATTGAAGTGTAGATGATAGCTGCGACAGTTCTTGATCAACAGCCACTTGTGCTGTTCGTCGATGCTCTGCTTGAGTGTTCAAATTATCCGCAGTACTTTTTCTTTTGTCATACGCATTTTGTTTTTCATTCAGCTGCCGAGTAAGTCGATCAAGATCACGTTCTGTACTACGCAGTTGTGCTTCAGCTTGATCACAAAGACGTTTTGTTTCCTGTTGTAAAGTTGACTGTTGCTGTATCTGTCGTTCCGTGTTATTCATTTGTCTTTCGACATTTTTGATTGCTTGCTTATTAGCTAGCTGTTGCTCTTCAACAGCATGCAATTGTGCTTCACGTGCTAGCTTTTGCGATTGTTTTGCTGCTATATCTGACTTTTTCCTGTTCACTTCCGCCTGAAGAGAGCCTTTTGTATGTTCCTTTTCGTTTAGAGTCACACGTTGCCTTTCAATATCACGCGTTAGTGTTTTAATATCTCGTTCCGCCTGTTGTTTCTCACGATCAAGTTCGTTCATCTGAGATTCAAGTTTCGAATGTTCGGTTTCAAGTTTTTGCATTGCTTTTTGCACTTCTTTTAACGTTTGATCCTGATCAGCTAAGTCTTTCTCAAGTTCTGGCACTGACTTGTTCAACATATCAAGATTCGCTTGCACATTTTGTAAATGATTGTCGATGCGCATGACTTCCTTCTGTTTTTCTCGTACAATTGCCGCTTGTTTGTTCACTTCAGCTATATTTGCATCGCGTTCTCGTGTTTTTGCTGTTTCTTGAGTTTTTTGTTGATTGAGCTGAGATTGTTTGCCTTTTAGTTGATAATCATTTTGTGTCAATGCATCTTGCGATTTTTTTATTTGTTGATCCAGGTTTTGGACACGTTGAACTAAGTTCTTGACTGCTGTATCAAGTTGATTGATCTCCGTCTTCAACGTTTCGCATGTTTTCTTCTGTTTTTCAAGTTGAGACTTTTCATTTTTCACTGCTGTCTCCTTTTCTTTGACCTTTTGTTCTGCTTGTTTGCAATCTTGTTTCAGTTTTTCGAGTTTATCTTTTGTTATTGTTACTACTGTTTTCTGTTGGTCAAGTTCTCGTTTTTTGGCATTCACTCGTTGTTTCTGAGTTTCGAGTTCCGTTTTACGCTGTTGAAGCATCACACGAGCTTGTTGTAGAGTGGTTCGACATTTTGCAGTATGTGCACGAGCTGCCGTATGTTCACTCGCTTTTATTTGATGATACATTGTGCGCTGTGTTACTTGTGCTTGACAAGCAGCAACTTTTACTTGAGCTGCTACTACTCTGGCTGCTGCTGCAGCAGAAGCCCCTGGAACGGCTGCGGCAGCGGCGACTGCCATTGTTGCACTAGCCAGCTCTGCTTGAGCAGCCGCCAAATTAGCTCGTGCTGTTGCTAATTCAACTTGCGCTTGTTGTTCAGCCATACGCGCTGCTGCTTCTTTACTCTCAGCTTGTCGTAAAGCTGCTTCATCATTTCTCACTTGTTGTTCCTGCTTTTGATGAGCTTGCTCTGCTTGTCGTTGTTTGTCTTCTTCTGTTTTCAATTCTTGTTCAAGTTTGTTTTGTTTTACGCGTTCATGTTCCAGTTGTTCGACACACTTGTCACGTTGATCAATAAGAGAGCGAAGATTATCACGTAACGTTTTGAGTTCATTTTCTAGACGAGTTATGCTTTGTTGAAGTCTATCCCGTTGTTGTTCTGCATTTTGTAATTCACTTTTCTTTCCATCAAGTTTTGTGTTTGTCTCCTGTCTTTTTTTATCGACATCAACACGTTCTTTCGTCTGCGTCTGCAATTGACCTCTGCAATAAATATAGTGCTCCCAATATTGCAAGAGTAAAAAAAAAAGGTAGCTTACTGTAATTTATTTTTTTCTCCATTCAGCTGTTGAATTTCCCTATTCGTCTTCTGTATCTCTTGTGAAAGTGCAGCTAACACTTGCCGAAGCCGATTGACTACAGCTTGACATTCATTCATTTGATTTTGAGCCGCCTGCAATTCTGTTTTAAGACGATTTACGTTTTTTTGTGTTTCGCGTTTTTCCTGTTCTAACTTTGCTTGTTCCTTTTTCAACTCTTGAATATGATTCTTCTTTAAATTGATCAAATGAGCTATGCGCTGTTTCATATCTTCGATCCTTTTTTGTTCAGCTTCATTGGCATCAAGTTTTGTCTCATTTTCACGAATACGTTGTTGAATATTTTCTTTTTGTCTTTCAAGTGCCTCAATTCTGTTGTATAAGTCTTTGATTTCGCTTTCGAGACGATCTATTTCGACTTCGAGTAATCGTATTTCTTGAGCTAATTGTTCAAGACGACTTTGTAACTCCTGTAGTTGTTGTTCAAGTTGTGCAATTTGTGCTTCGATTCGATGTATCTCTTGTTCGAATTGTTGTCGACGTTGTTCGAGTTGTGCACGTTGCTCTTCTAATTCATGCTTCTGATCTTCGAGTTCTTTCAGTTGCTCTTGAAGTTCACGAAGACGTTCTGTTTCTTGATAGAGTTTGTCTTGAAGTCGATCATGTTCCAATTGCTGTTGACGACGTTGTTGTTCTAGGCGAGTTTGTTCATCTCGTAAATTTTCGAGTTCTTGTTCCAGTCTCTCTAACTCATTATTCAGTTGCTTGATTTGTTCATCCAATCGACGAATTTCTGCTTCGTGATCTTTTGATGCTTGCTTAAGTTCTTCGATACGCATTTCGACCGCTCGTAATTCATCCTTAGCATCTTGTTTTTCTCTCTCTAAATGTTGCAATTCATCGTTCATCTTCTGTATTTCAAGATCTGCTTCATCATTATTGTTCAAATTTAAAGACATATTGAATAAAAATTTTACGAAAACTAAGTCTAGAATAATTTGAAATATAATGCTTCATACCCAAGATTGATGCTATTAGAACTATGAAATTGTCTATCATCAAAAATATTAATCAGGAAAAGTCAGATATACCAGAAATGCATTACAAGCGAACTAGTCACAGAGAAGTCCAATTTACAGATGTTATGGAACTTAAGGGAAAAAGAAAAATTTTAACTTTCAAATCGAATACATTCGTTTTATTCTCTGTCCGAGTGAAAACAAGAAGAAAAATATCAAAGAAAATCGACAACTAAATTGAAATTACCTTTGTTTGTCAAAAGAAGAATAGAAACGCGTCTTTTGCAAGGTTTCTAGCAATTCATCTATCAAGAAGAGAAAAAGTCCGAATAAAAATATCCATTCAAATAAACTCAGACTTATTGTGAGTAGTAAATTTTACAAAACTGACTGACAATAAAATTAGTTATGCATATATATATATGTTTACGAATCAATATATCGTCAAGAAGGAAAGTTCCGAATAAAATGATGAGAAGCTGGAAAAATCCATCTTTTTTCTGTATGATAACTCGTGATAGCGAAGGACGTTTTTATCATTACTGAGTCATTGTATTTCATGATTGAAAGTAGGTAGAAGAATCACTGAGTTGCGATTTTTGAGTAGTGATGCGGAAAAAAAGCCGAACGAAAAAAAATCATTGTATCCAGTACACGACATGACCATGATGTTACTATTTGTCATAGTGAAAAGTATCCACTATCGTCTTGGAGAAAAAAAGAGTGATTCTGTTGCCTAAAGGTTAAACGAAGCATAAAAAGGGAAAGAAACCACGTTATTCTTCAATAGTGACAGCCGACACAGTATATAGAGGTTTAAGGTGAATTGCTTCAAAATACATCTGCTTCATTGAAAACTGATTGTTTTTCTTTTTGAAGAATGACAAACCATAATCTAACAATTACACCTGGTAGATATTTCAAGCACAGCATGTCTCTGAATGATGAAAATATAAAAACTTTCCGTAATCTTTATCGAACATTATCAAAAACTGATCGATTTGATGGGCATGACATCGATACAGCATCATTACTCAAGGCTGCTCAACAACTAGACATACATGTTGATTCGGACTACGATCAAGAGATATTAAAACAGTGCGTCAAATACGAAGATGAAGAACAAACGTTCTTGTGTGTTGACATACTTATTCAAGGTTCAGTAGAACAAAGATCATTAGGTATTCATTCCATTCCTCCTTCAACGTCAAAACCACCAAAAGAAGATAAAGTACCAACAATTTTGACCGAAGTCACATGCGTATTTATCATCAAGCGTCACGGGAAGGATGTAGACGACTTTCTGCATAACTTTCTCTTGCAAATTGTTAAGAAAGACAGCACACACAAGTAAGTAGACTAATCTGAGTCGTAATTTTTAATTGTTGAAATCTAGAAATAATTGAACAGATTCAAAGAAGTATGAATGTTGCGTGTCCTCTCATTTGCGAACATAAAATCGAAAAATTAAAAATTAATTAAATTCAATTTCAGTTGTTTTTAAACTTAATTTATTCAAATTTCAAATAATTTTAGGTTTTAAATTTTCGGTTTTCAAATTTCAAAAGATTTGCTGATAACAATTTTAAAACAAATTAAAATTTCAGTTACATTTTTAAACTTGTTGAAATTTATAGAGGTCGCTAAAGATTGAGTTTCATTACTTCACTTTAATGGCCTGTAATTTGTAGAGAGCGCTAAACTACGATGGTGCTTCTTTTCTTTGTAATTGCTGCAATTTATTGAGTTCACTAGATATCGAGTTTCACTATTTCAATTTAATGAGCTCAAATTTGTAGAGTGCGCTAAAAAATAGTAGTGATTTTTATATTGTTAATTGACTGCAATTTATAGAGCTCGTCAGACATAATTGTTACTATAAACGTCATCAGCTGTTTTTGATTTTGAGTAGACTATATAATTATGATAGTAAAATGGAATCGAGAATTGAATGGAGATCACCAATTGAGGTGCAAAAGCACTTATACACAAAAATCAAGCATACAGAAAATGACATTCTAAAAATGAGAGCTCTGAAATAGAGATGTTAATGACAGTCTTCCCTTGACGAGAACAGCTCGATCCGGTCATATCACATTCGAAAGAAATATCAAATTATGACTACAAATTATAATACTATTTCTGTAAAAACTCGCTTTGTGTTCAATTAAAATCATTCTTAGTTCAGCCAAAATCAACGACCCTTGCTCGTGTACTACGAATATTAATTTATCAATAACAAAAGAAAAAAAAATAAAGAGTACATTCTATTTTTGTCTTCCGTTAAAATTCTTCGGAGCTAGGTTCACACAAAAATTTTAATTCAACTAAAACCTAGCGTCCTCTACAAATTACAGATATAGTGCTACTTTTAAAAAATTTCTCTGATAAAAAACTTACGTCCTCTACAAATTGCAGGAAATATCAAAAACTCTCTGTTATCAGAAACTTGCGTCATCTACAAATTGCAGCAACTATCGGAGTCTTGAACAGTTTTTATTATCAAGAAACTAGCGACCTCTACAAATTGCAGCATGCTTCGTAAAAAAAAGATAAATTTTTATAAAAAATCTTTTAAAACAATTTACTTTCAAATATTCGTTCGCAGTAATTGAATTTTTCGAAGTTAAATATAAATTTCAATTGTTTTACAACAGATTGATAAACTTATCAAATTTAAATCAAACGAAATATTATAAATTTCAATTTGAATTAAAATTTATTTTCTTTATGTTCGCAAATGAGAGGTAGCCATTTTACTAAATCTTTCTCAGAAATAAACTATTTTATTAAAATGTTTTTTAACTGTTATTTGAAGACTGGATAATTTGATGTCAAACACTAGTAACACTTTTTTTTTACAATTTTATTGTAGTTCGAACAATGATGATACCTATTCACCGCGTGATAACAAACGATTTCTTCTTCATTCTGGATCACTTCTTGCTTTATTTATTCACGAACAAATGAGCTCATTAGGTACGATTCGTCAGCGATCAGCAGAACGTCTGCGTCTCGTCGAACCTCTCAGTATTACCGATGAATTCGGCACGTGGTCTTATGATAATTTTCGAGGTCTCTTCGAAATTGAACTCCGCTCTCATCTTCAAAAGTCTTTTCCATCCTGTTGGACTCTGGCAAACGATGCTCATATCCACTGTCAATTTGTTTTTAGTGGTACTCGACAAGCTAGTGATATTGGAACAATATTCATTTTTGAACGTCCACGTACGAGTTCTCTCGAACTGTTTATTGAAGATGTCTGTGCCAAAGAAGACAATATGAAAGCTAAACAATGGCTCGAGGCACTGCATGCCGAAGACATTCTTTCATTTACTCATCTATCCAATTTAAAACAAACTGAATGGGACAATATCAAAAGATTATCAATGAATGCAAAGAGAATATTGAAGGCAGCAGTTGACCGAGAACGAGAAAGTGCTGCTGACGATCGACGACGTGCCTTTGAGGAAAGTTCACCGAATGAAGAAATTTCCAGATCAGCAAGTACTTCGGTCAATAGAGTTGATATATATGTTACACTTTCATTTTTAGATAATGTACCTAAAGAATCTCGCTCCGAACTTCTTGCTAATCTTCATTTGATCAAACTCTTTATCTATCACACACTTCGTTTTGAGCGAGCACTTCAAAACTACGGCGCTCTATCAAAACTAGAGCCAGCTTGCATTGATGCATCATTCACTGAGATGAGAGATGAGGGATATGCAGATGATGGGCTCTTTTCAACAATGGGCGAGTTCTTTTTGCCCCTGACAATATCTGAAGAAGAATTGAAGATGACAAGATCTAATGCTAGTAATCAAACGCGACAAAACCAACTACAAGATCTAATCAAAGAAGTCCAACGCTTGGAAAAATTGTCGAACGAAGCGACAATGCATCGATGGGATGTCGATGAAAAGATTACAGATTTGAATCGAATAATGGAGCGAGCATATATAGTATACATAAATGATCGATTAGGAGTGAATGAAGCGACAACATCACGTGAACATGCAAAAGAGTTGCAACAAATTGATCAACAATGGGAATACAATCGAACAGAACTCGAAAAACAATTACTTCCATTGAAAAGAGAATTGGATCAATGGATAAATCGTATAGCCGACTATGAAAAGCAAATAGATGAATATGAAACCCAGATCAACAATATTCAAACTGAATTGAGTCAACCACAATGCCCAGTTGACAAAGGACTTGTGAAACCTGCAAGAGGGTTCATTATGTATGGTCCTCCTGGTATGTAGCCGTTTTGTCGTTGAACATTTTGTATTGAAAGAGGTTGACTATGTTTGTGTAGGTACTGGCAAATCGGAAATTATGAGTAAACTAAGCGCAAAGATCGGTATTGTAATGGTCGCAATTCCTTTAGCTGCTGGTGAACTCAATCGTCCTTTGGTCGGTGAATCAGAAAGAGTCATCATTGCACTTGCTTCCCGATGCCATCGTGTACCTTATGCTATGTGCTGTTTGTCGATTGATGAAATCGATTCCCTTGCACCGAAACGTGATGAAGATTCAAGTGAAGGAAAAGTAGACAAGATCAGCGTTCTTCTTTCATTGATCGATGGTATTAAAGATGTTCCCAATCTCATGATTTTCTGTGCTACAAATCGTTTGCACATGATGGATGAAGCTTTTCTGCGACGCATGTCTGGAAAATTCTTTGTTGGTCGACCATCATCTCAAGCACGTACAAAAATCTTAGCTCAAATACCAGAATGGGCTCTTGAATCAGGTCTCATCGATCGGCTAGCTATTGCTACAACTAATTTTAGTGGTGCAGCATGTAAGTAAGTATAATAATTAGAACTTAAATATATCAGAGTATTTGAAAAAGAACTTTAATATTGTGCTTAAAATTGTTTTCGATGGTCATGATATTATCGTATCTCTTTCAGAGCATTTACTCGAGCCATTACTGTTCGTTGCATGGCTGCTCAACGAACACAACCAAAGTTTCATGTCAACTATCGAGAAGCATTGAAAATTGCCGATCGTACTGCACAACAATATCAAATCTTCCTCGGTAGTGAAACCTTACCTCGATTACTTCTGCGTAATTTGATGAGTGGATCAAAGATTCGTGTAAATCACTTATCACGACACATGTATGCAGGACGAATTATTGTCGATCTATATGGCCGCAGTGTACGTATTGAAATTATTAAGAGTGGTGGTGGTTTTACTGTGATTGAAAATGAACTTTTTCCGAATGAGACAAGTGTACAGAATCTACTTGAACGATTGACTGTGTACGGGAAAGATCGAAATGTACAACTTCTTCAACTAATTGATCTCAATCTGCTCGCTTCACAAGGAGCGTATGATGAGAAAAAAGTGTTTGAAACATTGAAAGAACGCTATGACGAATGCGTAGCCTATACTCGTTCGATGATCATTTACGATCTTGATTCTCTTGTTGGTGTTAATAAATCCGAATCAGATTCATCTATGGGACGATCCATGAGTTCATCTGTTGTCAATCAAAGTGTGTATACATATGTTCGGGCAAGATTTCGCGAAGCCATTGTTGAACAACAACAAGAAACAGATGATGAATCACAACAAATGGTAGAGAAATGGGCAGTTGCTGTTATTCGAGAACCTTTTCTCTTGAGGCAGTTTTCTTCCGATGTTCAATTTGCACGAACACGACAAGAAGAAGAAGAGCACGAGTTGGAACGACGCAAAGCAGAAGATCTTCTCAAATGTGTTAAATGCAAAGATCTTTACATAGAAAATGAAAATAAAATGGGTAAGAAAAGAAGTTTTTAACCTGTTCGTTCATAACTATACTTCGTGTAGGTAACTGTGTTCATCATGATGGATTCATATATGATAATTCAGCACCTGATCTTGCCATATATACACAAAATGAAGTAGCATATACGTTAACCAAACTTGAATGTGATGCCATCAATTATCCAGAAAGACGTGAAGAATTTGAACGGCAAAAAAGTAAATTCAAATGGATATGTTGCGACACAACAGTAACAACAGGTTCTGGCGCAGGTGGATGCAAAAAAGGCAAACATGGATTTGGCGAGCAAATTGAAGAGGGACAGCGACGAGATGGACGTCGCCTTGATCAAAAAATGATCAAACGGTGGGAAGACGAATGCCGATGTAATCAAGAATACAATGAAAAATGGTTGCTTTTGTTGGAGAATCGAGGATAAACTCGAATATCTTGAAAGAGATTATGTACTTTAGTGAAGAGTGTGCATGTGTGAGTGTGTGAGTGTATGTGTGTAACTAGAACGTGGCTTTTGCTGTAGGTATCTGTGTAGAGCTTGATGAGGAGATGATGAATATCCACATCCGACCACATCCTTACCATATATATAATAAGAAAGCCTAGACTTGTCTTTATCAGCATATAAATGTGCTTAACGTTGCTTTAATGAACATTTTTAAGGACTACGCACCAATTTCTTAGCAAGAACATTGTAATTGTGAATGCATGTTATACATCTTACATCGTAGACAGGTATCATACAAGTGAATATAGATAATATGTGTATTCTTTGCAGCATCAGAGTTATATTTGCGAAAATCGAAAAATATTTCGGAGTATATGCATTTGGCTATCTTGCTAGTTATTCTACAATAGTGTTTCAAACAGTTTCATCCTTAAAAATATTGACGATGTCACACTTCATCACGGTATTAGCTTCGTTATTTTTGCCAACGAAGAAATATCTAAGCAACATAAAAGATATCTGAAGTACAAGATATTCTAGAAAAAATAACAAATCTGAGAAATTTCCTTTTATTTGATAATTTATATAAACTTCATATTACAAAATAATGTCATTATATTTCCTATTGTCAAATAAGTATATTAAGAGAATCACCAATTAATATTCATTTCAACTTAAAACAATTAAGGCTTTTTCATAGTTTGAGAAGATGGGTTTTTATCAAAAAATCAGACAAAAGTCAATTTTTTGTGAAAACTCTGCCAAAAAAACGAAGTAAAATGTTAATAACTTGTGATTGACTTAACCTTTAAACACCGAAATTATATAGATTGTTGATCTTTGATCAAGGATTCTTGTGCACTAATGAAAACTATAATTCTAAAACTTCGACATTGCACAAATGTTTTGCGTTTAAGAAACTTAGCGAGTAGCTGTGAGAGAACCTGTCAGAAAACTTTGATGTTCAAGATTCGATGTAGTTTCATTTCCTCTTTTAAATGGTAAAAACTGCAGATCTCTATGTCGTTCCTATCAAAAACTATTCCAAAAATACTCACTCATCTTTTATTTTAATATGAATATTAGATATAATTTTGTATTATTTATGTACGTGTATACTGCAATGTGAAAAATGTATTATCACATCATGGATCTTTGAACGAATAGTGTAAGTATTAATTGAGATATCTACTTAGGGCATAACAAAAGTACCACTTAAAAGTAATAATTCAATATATGAATGTCTTGAAAGACGAACGTTGATTTGAAAAAAATGAAGTATCTTCGATATTAAGAGATATACTATCATCAGTTCTATCTTCAAATGCTTACAAAATATATATGAATAAACATTTTTCATTAAATGTAATTTAGTCAGCTCTACAAAAAGTAGAGTTTCATTTTAAAATAACTTTGAATGTTCCTGAAGAAGTATTATCAAAGTGTCTGTGGCCTCTCTGCAGACATGATCAGAGAGCCATGTATTTCTTACAACTGTTTTCTGGTTACGGCGGATTTCTTCGATCCTTCTCATAATGAAAATATCGTAATCTTCAAATAAACAGTACTTCTACGGAATATGCACCACAACCTGCATGAAGATGAGGGCGGTACATATCGTGTAGAAGTACCAATAAACAATTTTTCATTCGAGATTCTGCTCGACCAATCCATGAGTACTTATTCGATAGCCACGTTGAATTTGTAGGAAAAACTATAATATTCGATAAACGCAGTTCAGAAGAACTTTTTCGAGTTCAACATAAAGTTATACATCTATGGAAATGGTACTTGCTCTACTTATTTCAGTTGTTATTCGTCAATTTTTATTATTATTTTGGAGAAATTATCATCTTCGATCTTATTAAGTAATGATTTAAAAGTATTTTTCTCGTATCAATGAAATTTTCTTTTAGGTTTTTACCTTTATTGAAATGTGGTTAATTTCAATTGGATTATCAATTCATTATTTTAATATTTATTTTATTATGATTTAATGCTTTTTCACAATCATGACAGTTTATAGTATACGTTGTGCTACACTATAATCTAGTGAATCAAATATACCAAGGTAAAAAACAAGGAAATTTATTTTTTAAAAATTAAAAAAATGATTTTTTTTTTTCCTAAACAGACTAGTATATAAATGGTTTCTTTTTATTTTTGAGGTCTCATATGGACTAGCTATTAGTGCTTATTTTCTTATGATGATGTTCGATATTTATTTGCTTGACAAATCCTTAATTTTAATGATTGTAGAAGCTATTAAATATATACTTGGTCTTGAATAAATGAAATAAAGTTATTTCAATAATGAATGACATTGAACTTTTTTGTTTATTATGAAAAATAAGCAATTTTTGTTCTTGCAGATTTTTATTCAAAAAAAAAATGAATATTAAAGATCAATTAAGTAGTTTGGGATGGTCAATAAAAATGGATTTTTTCGAAAAAAATAACCAACGAATTAATGATATTAAAAATCAATTACTTAATGTGAATATTTTTATCTTATTTAGTTTATAATTTTGTTTTTCGTTTATAGAGTGATTTACGACAAACTGGAGAAAAATCTTTTCCTGACATAGCAAAACTTGATCAAGTATGAATGATAAAGAAAATGTAGTTTATTAAAAAAAATTAATTTTTATATCTATTCAGACAACAAAACCATATATTGTACAATTACATAAAACTCGTAATGTAACAGCACCGAAAGATAATGAATCATCATCAAGTAGACCACATCTTTATCGATTAATAATTACTGATGGACATGCTTTTCAAAATGCACTTATTTTACCATCACTTAAAAATTTTAAGTAAATAATCATATTGAATTTTAACCAGAAGAAAAAAAACCTTATTGCTTTTACAAATTATTAGTTTAGATACACCACCTGGTGTTAAAATTTTATTAAAACCAAAAACAAAAATTTTAAATGGATTTTATATATTAAATGATCAAACATGTGAATTACTTGGTGGAACAGTCAATGAACTTGTTCATAAATGGAGATTAAATAAAGTTTGAATTCAAATACAAATTTAATCAGATAAATTCATTCTTGAATTTAGTTAATGGGTAAACATGTTCGAACATTAATTGGTGAAGGAGCACCACCACCTTGGGTTCCATTTGGTACTAAACATGCATCAGCAAACACAGGTTGTTTTATATATTCAATTGTTTTTTTTGTCTTATTATTATTATTTGTTATGAATAGTTGATACTTCTAAACGTTCAATGGATGTAGCTAAAATGCAACAAAATAATGAAGAAGATCCAGACTTTGTTCGTCAACGTCGTGCTGCTATTGATACTCTTCTTACTGATCGACTATCTAAAACACAAAGATTTGCTACACAAAATGTTATCAATGGTACAAATTTAGCAAAAGGTTTTGAACAAGCAAATCAACGCATGGCAAGTGAAAGACCAAAAACAGCTGCAGCTACTTTTTCTGCATCATCAGTTTCTAATAAACCGATAAATACGGCAGCAACAGCTGAAGCAATTAAATCTAATACTCGATGTGAGTAGATGTTTTGAATTATAATGATTGATCCATCATCTTAACTATTTTAGTACCAGAATGGGCAAAGAATCAGATTGCAGATGAAGCAATGGAAAATGATAAACGACGAGCACCATCGGATCGTAAACAATTTTCTAAAAATAATTTTGATGATGATGATAATCGATCAAAACGAGGTGGTGGTGGTAGTTTTGGAGGACGTAATCGACGAGGTCGAGGACGTGATGATGATGATGGAGGTGAAGAAACACGTCCAAGTAAAGATGTTACTCTATTTGATTTTCTTGAAGCAAAATCAAAATGTAAGAATTCAAACAGATGACCATAAAGTTTTTCAAACAAGATGTTTGTTCACTGTTGACTCGTTAGAAAATATTTCCGTGAAGAAAATTTTTTGATAGAAATAATGAAGAGTAAACATTTCTCTACAACAGAGTCTCTTGCAACATGCATTTGAAATGGTAGTCTCTGATCTAGAAGTTGATGTATATGAATAAAGATTCCAACTACGAAAATTTTCTAGTCTTAGTTCATCAGAAATACTTTCTAGAGGATTAAAATTGAACAAATATCTTATGTAGAAACTTTCTGATCATCCATTATTTTGATGAATTAAGAAAATAAATTCTCCTTTAGCAACAACACAGAAAGCCCCACCGAAAACTCAAAAAATTGATTCAAAACCAAGTCAATATAATGCTTCTGCATCTAACCAATCAAATATATCAAGTGCTGTTCAAGTAAATTTTATTTTCTATAATAAATTTAAACATATATATATATATGATAAATTCTAATTATTATAGAAACAAATCTTTGAATTTGAAAATGGTGATCAAGTCTTAGCTCGATATTATGAAGATAATGAAGTGAGAATAAATATTTTATTCATCAAAAAAAAAACAAAATCAATGATTTCACTATTTTAGTATTATCCCGCTATTATAATGAATATTATGCATGATACTCAAAAATGTACAGTTATGTTTGACGGTTATGATTCTCAACAAATTGTTAATTTTGATGATATTGAATCATATGAAGTATGTATTACTGAGTGGCTTTATTTGTATTATTATTTTATCTTTTGATTAAATCTAATTTTTTTTTCAGGAAGGATATTATGAAGGTGACGAAGGTGAATATGAACAAGAACAACAACCACCACCGCCAACATCATCACAACGAAATAATCCTACTGCTCAATATCAACAAGGTCAATCCGGTGGTTATGGTTATTATAATCAACAACAAGATAATCAAAATCGAAATCGACCAAATTCAAGTCGAGGTTATCCACAACAACAGTATTCTAATAGATATAATAATAATAACTATTATTATTAACTTTTATGCTATTGACATTTTTTTAATCTGTTATTGTAGATGTTACGAACGTTTTTTCTTTTGTTCTTTTCTTTTTATAAGTCACAGTTATCATGGGTTATGAGAGTTAAAAATAAAGAGGTTGCTGTTTTTCAAGGATTTCATTTTATTTTTTTGACTTAGCTAATTGAACAAGAAAGAAATATGAATTGTATATATCACAACATCGTGAGTATGCTATCAAACGAGTGATTCGAATTATTACATGGCTGATGGTACTGATATTTGCACATCGTCTCAAGCGATTAATTAGTTGTAAGACTAAACTTGTTAGAAATAATTTTATTACAGCGACTAATGATTTTTTTTTTTTTCAACATTCAGAAATTGCGAATCATTCTATTTCTCTTGAGTTCGAGAAACAACTGAATGTAATTTTTTGTTAGCAATTCCATTGATAATCGTATCTTGATATTTATCTAATTCTGAATAAAGATTGCAAATTTTCATGCATTATATTCTTCAATCACTAAACTCTCGTCAAGGTCTTGGTGAATTAAGACTCTCCATACAAATGACATGATGTTTTTTTTTTCAAAAATGTTAGATAATTTCCGTGATTTCCTGTTTAAAATAAATATGCTTTTCGGATCGTGTATTTAAAACTTTTCAAAGAAATTTCATTGTAGCTAATGGCTGTTCTTTTTGTTTAACTTTTTTTATTATTATTACATAAAGAGTCATTTCTAAAAGTAGACAATTATTTTTTTCTAAAGCTTTTTCAGGTATTAAACTTGTTCCTCAATTTTCTCCGCATAAAAAAAAATTAAAATTAAAAAGAAAATGATTCTGCCAGGCTCGTTGAATATAAAAATAAAATCTATATAATGAAGGTCCAGAGAATATATTAGGTTGTCACGAAGTATCAATCTATTCATTTTGAATAATTTAGTTTAATTGGATAGATTTAAACAAAGTAAATACTTGTCATAATTTGTTTTTTTTCTCGATCATATTCTTCACATTTTTAATTTTCGATTAAAAAAATTCAATAAATTTTTTTTGCCTATCGTTCAATTTAAAAAAAGTAGATATCTAATAATAAAATGTTCAAATATTAGAATCTTTATTTCTTAATAAACTATCAGAAATAAAATCGAATAGGTTTCAAAACCAAACCAAAATTTCTATAAGAGCTCTTTTTGTTTAAGCAATTTTCAAGAAGTACGAATCAATAATATTATCTGTATTATATGAATAGTTTCAATTAATATTTTCTTTACAAATACTAAATAATGAAAATAAAGACAAACAATAAATATATTTATTCTTTTGTCATATTTAATCGAAAATATGATGGTGGTGTCGGAATTGTTTTCAATAATGGTGCTAAAAGTAATGTTAATACTGTTAATATTGTTGTAAATAAAAGATATGTAAAAAAAAGGCAACGATCAATAACTAAGGCAACATTTTGCCAATCACGTATAATAATATCTTCTTCATGTTTTTCACTTGAACGAAGAATAAGACGATTAAGTTCATAAAGAAGACGTTTACATTCTTGTAATGAATGTGGTGTTGAATTAATATTTGTTGCTCTTAAATTATTTTCAGTCATTGTTGTTGAATGTAATACATGTGATGATGATGATGTTTGGGAATTTGTTAAAAGATCATTTTCATTAAGAAAAACAGCATTATAAATTGTTGTTGAACGACGTGATGCTGTTTCTGATGTACATTGATTATTTTTTTTATCTTTTAGTATTATTGTACGATGTAATTTAACATGTAAATATGGTGCAATATGAAAAAAAAGTAAAGAACGTAATCGATTTGGTACTGGTTTCAAAGATGAACCATATAAATGAACATTAAGTAAAATAACAGCTAATAATACTGATAGACTAGTTAAACCCATAACTAATATAAAATAAATGCCTTCAAATAACCAAAACAAAAAAAAAAATTGTTTTTTTTTTTAATATTGAAATTATATACTTACCAATTAAAGGAATAAATTCACTTGTAGCTGGCATAGATTCAGCAATAACTAACATGAATACAGAAAATGAAAGAAGTACAGTTAAACCTAATGAAACTTTTTCACCCGATTCAGTTGGTAAATAAAATGTTAAACATGTTAATCCAGATAACATTATACATGGAATTATAACATTAAATGTATAATATAATGTTCGACGACGTATATGAAAATAAAATTTTAAATCATGATATGTTTCCTCACAACATGAATATGTTATTGTTGAAAGAACTGTCCATGATGTTAATAATTTCCATTCACCTTTCAATTGAAAAAACAAAAAATCAAGAAAAATTAAGCGAAATATTAAAAATAAAACAATAACATACCATTATCAACATAATTACTCATATCAATATTTGCTGATCGATTTGTTAATATAAGTTGTGTAGAATCGTATGTCCACGAACCAAATTTTAAAAAACATAATTGATCATCAAAAGGAAACCTTTTATTTAGAAGGAAAAAAAATGAATTTATTTCCAATGTTTTTTGTTTTTCAAAATCAAAAATTTACCAAGTAATATCTATTTTACATGTCGATCGAAATTTAACAATAGGTGGCCAAAAAACAGTACCATTATAATCAATCATTGCTAATGATTGCATATATCCTTGTGTATAATCTTCAGCAGAATTGTATAGTACAATATCAGGTAACCATATTAGACGGCAAGGTATACGTATTTTTTTTAAACCACCGAAATGTTTTGGATTCCATTTTAAATATGCATCGTTCCATTCCTTTATTTTGATAAAAAAAAAAAGAAAATTTCAATTGAAGAATTTTAAACTCGAGTAATAGTTTGGAACAAACATATATTCTCGAACAGAAAGCATAACTTTTAGAAATTAGATGATGATAACTATAGCATCGTCTAGTTTATTTTAAGAAGAAAACTGAATTAATAAATTTTAGTCTGAAGTTAGGATATTATAAGGACTATGAAGTCTATTTTCAAATAAACTCTTAGACTCAAATTTCTTAGCAGTAAGGGCATCAATCCTTTTAAAACCTTATCTATATCATGGATGATATGACTTCAAATAGAGATTATCAATTGAAAGAGTTCTCAGATAAAATAATTTAATTTTTCTCTTTTTGAATCACTTTAGAGTATTGAAAATAATTTTATCGTATAAGTACGCCAGGTGTTCTCCTCTTTGAAAAGTGTAATAAATTGATATTGCTGAAAATCTTCTAAAACATCTGTTCTGTCAACTAGATATTATTAGTTTTTCTTTGTACAGGGGCGGGTACGATCTATTCACACAAATCCTAAAATGTTCATATGCTTGATTTATAATAGATCAATATATAGTAGGTCTATAGGTTTTTATAGTAGAAGAAGTCATCTAACAATATTTTCTGATTTTCTTTTTGAGTGGTCGTGAATGGTGATAGTTGTTATTTGTATTTTTCGGTAACCATGTAGTTTACAAGAACATCGTTAGAGGAAATCCTAGAATGATAGACTCGACTCCATGATTTTCTTATGGCTCACTACTTGATGTAAAACTTTTTTTATAATGTAATGCATATTCGAATTTTTATTATAATTCTACCTGATCAAGCCAAATATTAGTTGTCATTATTTGATTTCGTTCATCCTACGTATATATATATATAATAAAAAGTGTTTCTTATTTATTTTTTTGTATTACTTACAATATCTAAAATTTGTGTCAATGTAATACCAAGTTTGACAACAACCGCTTCGGATGATTTTTTCAATGGTCTTACTGCTTTTTCATAAGCTGTTAGTATTGTATAAAAAAGACGTTGTTCATCAGACATATGAGAAGTAATATTTATTGTACGTTCATATAGCAATGACGAAGATGATGATGGAGTTAGAGCTATTGCAGTAAATGAATAACATTTTTGATATTGTGTAAATAAGTATATCAAACTAGTAAATAGTATATATAAAGTAGATACGTTATAATGTCCATAAGAAAGCATATTTATTGAATATATGAAAACAAATAATTAATAAAGATTTTTTTTAAATATTAATCTTATCACTGAAAATGAACAGTTTATTGATGCTTAATGTTGATGAAGATGGCATAGAAGAAAAGAAAAATGATATTGAATGAACGAAGGAAAAAAAGAATCGACAAAATTATATCTATAAATAAAGCCAATTGATGTCTTACTGTGGTTTGTAATATTGACGATGATGACTATCTAAAAATCGGATATCCGCTGTTTGCTATTCATTGAATAACGGTCTAGGTAAAAACACAATGTAAATTTGACATATTAATTGACTTTAGAATTCCGTACGAGATGAAAAAAAAAGACAAGATTCAGATGTCAAGGTAACATATACTTAATGCACTGACGGAAATAGTTTATCAAATACTTGTCATAAGAGAATAAAAAATAAGAAAACAAAAACCTATTCCTCTTCAGTAAATAAAAATGCTTTTTACAATATTACCATATATTGTAATTTTTTTCAAAAATATATTGTTTACACAACGGAATAATTCTATCAAAAAAAAATCATCGATAACAATGAACTTCATCAAATAAAGTAAAAACAAAAATCTAATTGCCCTAATTTACAAAAAAAAAAAAATACATTAGACTCAATGTCATCACATCGAGAATAAAAACGAAGGGCATTGTTTTGATTAGTTAGTTATTCGATCAAGTTCTATTTTCTTACATCATGTTTTACACGATTTACCTGATCATTCATTATATAAAAATATATATTTCAGTAAGCGGTTTTTTTTTTCTTTGTTGAAGAATTACCTTTTGTTGATTATATGAAAGAAGAGAAATGTATAATGTGAGGAGAGATCTTTGCTTCTACAACATTCTCGCTATTCATTTCTCTTCTATCAAAAAAAATCAACGGAAAATATAGCGAATCATGTATGTGGATCATAAAAACATTGAATAAATCATAGGCAAGAAAAAAAAGAAATGAAAAACAGTATTGCTATGTAAAAAATCTTCGAAAAATAATACTATGAATTTTCTTACATAAAATATTTTATAAAACTTTACTTAGACAAAACAATAGATCATTGATTTACATGTTTGTATGGTTATTTTGTTTTTTCATTCATTAAATGCATCGTCAATTTACTGATTGATCTGTTTTGCTGTTTTTGTGCTGTCTATAGTTACATATCCTGATACTTAACTTTCAAACGATAGAATACTTAATTTCTTCTAGATGATGAATTTTAATATTCAGCTTTCAGATTGTTAAATCGCATCACTCATATAACCAACATATTTTTAGATTCATATAATATAAAAGATTATTATTGCTCAACGATTAAGAAAATAATAAGAAGATTAATAAAAATAATATTCATCATATATTTCAATTTTTATATTATATTCAAACAATAGATACCTCGATCATATATTGATTGTTAATTCCTTGTTATTTCAAACAATCGAAAACCTAATATATCTTGCCTTGTTATAAGGATTTTCTTTCATCTTTTATGTTTGATCAATTTATATTATTTCATTTTTACTCGCTTTACTTTATGTTAACCAAATAAGACAAAACAATTCTATGTTCAAGTTTCATAACAAAGGTTCGATCAATATATATTTTTATATATTGAAGACATTGTAAAAGCACTTGTTGTATCTTATTTTCACAGAAGCAAAAAAAAAAGCATGTATAAAAAAAAAATGTGAACATATACTATTTTTGACTCTGTTGTATTGAAGTCAATTGGTATGAACGTTTTTTTTTTTTTATTCAAGGACGAAAATAGATTGACGAGAGAGTGAGAATGATCGATCGCGCCACTCATACGCGCACATACACAGATTTCACAGCACCAGCAACACGCACACACACACACACACATAAAGAAGAGAAAAAAAGACTGATAACAGAATAGACAAGGTTTAAGTCGATCAAAGGGAGATTCAAAAGAAAGAAAAAGACCAAAAAAAAAAAAAAGAAAACCAGAAAAGAACCACCGGCGGGTTTTACATGAGTAGAGAAAAGAATAAAATAAACCGTACAAGAATTACCTACCGTAATGACAAAATTTAGAGATGTCTGTTTAACAGAAAAAAAAAGAAGAAAAAAGAAAGAAGTATCTCAACACACACACATACGCGCTCACGCACACAATGAAATATACGTTTTATTTTTGTTTCTCTTTCTCTCTCTCTCTCTCTCTTTTGGTTTTTTGTTTAATTATTTTTTAATTTTCTTATTTCTTTAATTGCCCAATTAGCCAATGTTTTTGTCTTCGTTATTTTTGATCGTTTACCTTCTGCTAATAATTTTTCAAATGATTCACGTTCAACAAATTGTAACATAACATGACCATATGATGTAACTAAATCACCAATTAAACCAATAGCAGCACCTATTATTGAATCTGATTTATTTGGATCACGTGCTATTGTTTCAAGAAATTGTACTATAAATGGTAATTGAGCTGTAACTAATTGTAATTCAGCAAGTGCAGTTGTATTTGTTGTTGCTGAATTACGTAAACCTTGAATTATACCAGTATAGGCTGATAAACAACCTTCACGTAATTCATTTAAATAATCAATCATATCATAATCATTTTTTGATACTTGTGCACGACATGCTTGATTAAGTGTATTTAATACATGTTCAAGATATTTTTTAAAATGTCCACCTATAGCTAAAGCTATATCACCAAATGTACTTAATATTTGTGGTTTTACTGAACGATGTAATTTATCATTCTAAAATACAAAAACAAAAAATCTAACTTATATATTTTTAAAGTATAACGTTTATGTAGAGATTTTCAGAGCTCAAATTACTTTTCTTTTTTGTTTGATGTAACAGAGAGAAATTCTTTTAAGGGGGACCCCCCCTTCAGAAAAAAATCAGTTTTTGTTAAATTGTGATTTATAACTAGTTAGATAAAGTGTCTATTCTCGAATGCACTATAGTTGATTGATTCTATGACGAACTTTAAGCATATTACATAACTTTTTTTGAACCTTCATATTGAAAAAAAATAAGGTTTTTAAAAAATTATTTTCCGTTTTTTTTGAGTATACTGTTTGCGCGGGTACACCTTACTCAATATAGAAGTGATAATTTGTTTTTTATTGCATAGAGAACAGTTAGGGCTAGATCCTCATAGAGCCCGATTTTTGAATTTCTCTATTGGTGAAATAATAAAACCTATATATCTCATTTTTATCAGCGAGTTTTTTTTTGCCATGAATTCGAGAATTTTTCGGAGAAGATTTTTTTTATAGAACAAACAAAGGGAATTTCAAAAATCGGGATCCAGCGCCAAGGCTATTCTACAACTTAAAAACAGCCCCGCCATGCTAGTTCGTGTCCTGATTGTGAAAACATTCCCTGCACGCACCAGATATTTTTGACCAATCAATTGACTCTATCTCGTGAACATCTCGCAGCTTTGAGGAGATATTTTAACCATAATCCATTCTAGCCAAGACTAATATTCTCTGAAATTTTCGTTAAATTCCATCGGAAAATAAAAAAGTTCGTTTGTGAAGGCTCCCCTCCCTTTAGTTGATATTAACTTACACCAAGACAAGTAAGTAAATGTGTCATTATTTGATCGCAATATGGCGCTAATTTATCAAGTAATGAACGACTTAAATCTCCAACAACACCAACAGCAGCTGCACATATTTGATATTCCGAATGATTATTTAATGCTTCATATATAAATGGAAGAACATGATCAATATATTTAATAAAGTTCATTCCCAATACTAAAAAGAAAATAATCAATTAAATACAATTTAAAAGACCTAAATACTAACCTTCAACAAGAGTACCAATAGCAACAAGTGCATCTTCTTGTACAACACTTGCTTTACCACTACTTGTTTTAAGCATTTGTAATAAAGCTTGCATTATTGGATCTGATATTAGTGGTGCATCATTAGGATGCATTTTTCGAAGTACACTCTAAAGTTCAAAGAAAAATTTTTCCAAAAAAAAAAAAAAAAAGAAGATGATCGAAAAAAAAAAACTTACTTGAAGTGTTGCACAAAGTAATGATTGAAGATCACTTATTTGTACTCTATCATTTGGATTTGATGTATGACTTTCAACAGATATTACACGATTAAGACGATCAAGTACAGTTACTGTTGTTTTTTGAACAGTAACATAACAATCCTAATAAAAAAAAATTGTTGAAAAAAAGAAAAAATAATGTTTTAATTCGTAAATTATACTTTTGGACTATGTCGAATCATTTCCATTAATGCTTCATAAGCTGCATTACGTAAATTTGATTGATTACCATCAGGTCTAAACAAAGAAAAAAGAAAAAGGCTTTTATATAAAAATAAATCAAATATTTCATGTTTTCTATTACCTATCCGTTGTTTCAATAAGTTTTTTAACAATTTCATCAAAGAATGGTGATAATAAATATGTATTTGGTGTTTCATCATCTTCTGAACATTCAGCATGATCATATGCTGCTCGTGCTAAACTTGAAAATGACTAAATATTAAAAAAAACAAAACAAAACAATTTTTTTTCTTCTTAATTTTGCTTTTTTTTTGATATATACCCAACAAATATTTGTTGCAACACGTGGTACATCATTTAAACCATTAACAAGTGTACTACCAATAGCTCGAAGTAAATCTTCATTCATAACAGCTTGTGAAACAAATTCAAATATACGTCCTATTGTCCATGCTGTTGTATCACGTACAGCAATATTTGGATCACGTAATAATTCAAGTAAAAATGGTATAGCTTGTTCAGCTATGGGTTTAATACTTGCAACATCAGGTCCTTCTAACATTGAACCAAATGCCATAACAGCTGCTTCACGATGTCTCCAATCAGTATGTTTTATATTTGTACTAACAAATGGAAATACATATTGAATTATAGCATTTTCAGCACAATTTGCTAATAACATAAGACAAACACCAGCTGATTTACATGGATTCCAATCATCATCATCATCTGTTTCTTCTTGCATAGTTAATCTTTGAAGTAAAACTGGTACTAAATATTGTAAAGCACCACGTGCATAATAACGACTTGTTCGTTCAGGTTGACGATTTTGTTCTTGTGCCTAACAAAAACAAAAACAACAAAATAATTTTCTCAAAAAAAAAAAAAAACAAAATATGATTTACTTCTTGTTGTAATAATTGTAATTCATATTCTTCATCACATACATTTGACCAAAATTCAATACCTTGTAAAGCTATTTCATCATGAGAAGATTTCATTGCATCCATTGTAATCTTAAACACAATTAAAATCATACAATACAACCGATGGATCATAAATGAGAGAAAAATTATTTTATTTTATCTATTGATATACAGTCTAACGTCTGTCATAGTCTATAGTGTGGATATTATGAAAACTTTCAAAGTATCGTTTTGAAGTTGTGCTAAAAGTTTTTAGATGAAACTTATTTTTTTCTCAACATGTATTGTCATTTGTTTTTTACTAATGAAAAGATGATATGGTCAAAAAGCCTAGTCGTTAAATAAACTATTAGAATATTCTACTTACAGCAAATAATGCTGGTCCCATATAATATTCCATATAATCATAATATAATGTAAGAATTTTGACAAGATTTTGTAAAGCTGCTACTTGAATTTTTAAATTTGCTGATTGTGTAGCTTCACAAACAACTTGCATTATATAATGTCTTTCACTCTATTGATGATAAAGAAAAAACAACAGCAACATTTTATTTTAAAAACCTAAAAAAAAACAAAATCGTTTTTTGCTCTTACATCATTTTGAAAATTATTTTTTGTAAATTCTAATGAATTTAATAAAGCTGTTATGGCAGCAAGTCGTACATTATCATTTGTTTCTTCTTTACGCATACCATATATAAGTGCAGTTAATATAAGATTACTTTGAGGTTCAAGAACATTCGAATCCTAGAGAAAATTTTTTTTTTTCTTTTCTTTAACAAAAAAATAAATAAAAACAAAAAAAAAACAGAATTTTCTCTTTTTTTTCGTATGAAGAAAAAAAAGAAAACAAAACACAAACAAAAAAAAAACACACGGATGAATGAATGAGCTTACAATATCTTGACATATGTAACCGAGTGCTTCCAAGCTCGCTTCCCGTACATTATCGGCTCTGCCCACTGTAGTAACATTGTCAACCAGGCGTTCTAAGATGGTACACACACATACAATCAACACTCGTCAACACGCTCATGAAAATTTTTATATAAGAATGTAAAATAAATAATATCAAACAACTTACTTATTAAATCTTGCCATTGACCACGTGGTAATTCAGCACAAGCTATATAACCAACACATTGTGCAGCTTGTGATGGTTTTGTTGTTTCAGTACCGAGAGCATTAAAACACTATATATATATATATAGAAAAATAATTAAAATTAAATAGATAATTATATATTTACATTTGTTTTTATATGATTTCTAATATTTTCTGGTATATTAAGCCATCGTTCTTGATAATGTTGTTTTAATGTATCTTCTCGTGAATACAGAGCATTTTTAAGTTGTAATGCTAGAAAAAAAAAATAAATCAAAGAAAAGAAAATATTAGATTAGAATCTATATCTTGAAAGTGTTTTATATCAAACAGACTTTGTTCAACAACTTGCGGATTTTGTTTTTTTTTTACCGAAATTAAATTATTTGATAGGTTACTCAAATCTTAATCGAAAGAAGACGTTTGAAAAGGTTTCTTCTTTAGTGTGCTTCAAAATACATCGTAAAATGCAGAGGTGCAGAATCTTCCTCATGCGCCCCCGGGCGGGGGGAAATTTTTTGAAAAACTCAAATAATAGGGAAATTTTGGAAAAACCCGCTGGCCAAAATAAAATACAGTGGGGAAATTTTTTAAAAAATTTTTTTGCGTGGGGGGAAATTTTTCGATTTTTGGAAGATTCTGCACCTCTGGTAAAATGTAATGTGACAAGTTGTATAAGTTACAACAAAAAATCTGTTTCTTTATTTGCATTGTTTATTTTTGAAATACAAAAAAAAAATTATGGCATCGTTAAATACTTTTAAAAATGATCTTACATTCTCAATTAAATTTATATCTCATGAAAATTATTACATAAAGATTGTCATTAGATTATTTTTTTCATATGCGTACTATGAAGGTAAACAACTCTTAATCGATAATTTTGTCTATCAACAGTATTTTATTGACATGGTATGAAAACAATCCTAGTCTCAATGTTTTGTGATTATTTCGTATTAGCACGATTTTTGTTATTTTGTCGGAAAACCAAATCATTTTAGATTTTTCAATTTCTCATCAAAAGAACATCACTACGATCGAAAAGTTGATCAGTTACTATGAATTATTCTTTAATTAAATCTAAATTTTCTTACCTGCTTGTGCACGTGCTGTTGGATTATTTGTGGCGGTAATTAAAATATCGGACAGTTGTTTTAAAAGTTCCGACTGAAAAAAAAAGCAAACATCATTCTATAAAATTATTTTCTCCAAATATTCTCACGTACTAAATTTTGTTCAGCTGCTTTAGCAAGAAAATTTCGTGCGTTCTCCAAATCAGCTTGTGCTAAATAGAAAAAGTTCAATAATTATTTTTTGTTCAAAATTTTCTAATCGAACACCTACAGCCAGTAACCGTTCGTTCAAGAATATTGATGAGTCCTTCTGTGGCCATTGGACCCGTTTAAAGATAAACGAAAAAAAAAAAACAAAGAAATTAATCTAAAACAAAAATGAAACAAATGTTGTTCGATGTTTCATATTTTTATTCATATATTATTCTTTTTCTTTTATTATATAAAATCAAAAAAAAAAGAAAACATCAAACAATTTGTTTGGTTCTTTTTTTTCTTCTTCGGTGAAAATCTTCATCTAAGCTAGAAGAGCAGCAGCTGTTGATGATTCATATTTCCATGTTGGTGGTAAAACTTTTTTTGTTTTATAATATCTTGCTAAACGATGAATACGACTTTCAACAAGAATTAAACGAAATTTTGAATCTTTATCTTTACGATTACGTTCCAAATGTTTACGAATAGCAACAGCTTTTTTTATTAAATGATGTAAATCTTCTGGTTTACTTGGTGCAAGACCTTTTGCTTTCATTATACGTAATATTTTATTTCCTGTAACAAAACGTGTTTGAGCAACACCATGAGAATCACGAAGAATAACACCTTAAAAATAATTATTATTAAATATATATTTTTTTAAATACGGAATGAACATACCAATTTGTGATGGTGTTAAACCTTTTTTAGCTAATTTGCATATTTGATCAACAACATCTTCGGATGTTAATTTCAGCCACTAAAAAAAACAAACACGACAAGAAAATTCAATTTATGTATAAATAATTCTTACCGATGGTACTGTTCGTTTGTAGGGTAATGCAGAATCTGAAATACCCTTGCTAAAAACAAAAAAAAATAAAATGAATTTAAATAAAAAAAAATCGAATGAATGTTAAAAATTTACCCAGGAGCATGCATACGACCCATGATGACAGTTTTTTAGTCAAAGATCTAGAAAAGAAAACAAGATAGCGAAGGATTTTATTTTTAAACAAAAAAAATATGGCCACATGTAATTGATTGTTTAAATGAAAGAAGTAAATAAATAATATCCTCCTATCAAATTTATATTGACCTCCGACGATAATCGACAATGGATTGTATGAAAAATTTTAATGTTTTTTTTTTTCGCAATGAAATTTTGAAATATGGAAAGAAATTTTTTTTCTTTTTGATTTTTAATAAATAATTCTTTCTTTTAAAGTAATTCAATATCAATTTTTATTGGACAAAAAAACACCGAATCGGTTTAGATTGATAATTCATGGAACTATATGAAATATTTCATAACTGGTATCATCCATATGATAAATAATTTCAAATTTTTCTGAACAAATGTCTTCTTTCACGTCTCTCTCATTCTTTTCATGTAGAATTCATCAATCTCAAATTACAAGAATGACTTAAATAGTACTTTAATATGGTTTATAATTGATTACGACCTACTTCAATGAAAAATGTAACTCATTCAATACCATCGGGCAACATTACAAATAAATTGCTTAATATAATGCACAATAAAGCACTTAAGTCATAGTTGTAATTAATAGGCGCTGAAGATCAAAGAAGTTCTAATAACGGAAGAGAGGTGAAGATCTCCCTGATTCTGAATCTATATAAATCTTGAATAACGAACCTTTATAGAATGAAGTCGTTTCATGATTAGTTTAAACCAAATTGAAAAAGTCTCAACACAAGTCGTGGCAAAGTTTATTGTGACTTTCTCTTTTGCACTATCGACGACGGCGCACGCTAAAAATGTTATACATTTTTTCCGTCTTCGGTTACGATAGCTCATCCAATCACTACTTACCTTTCGTATGACATTGTTCTCTTTCGTTGGAAGAAGGTAGATATTGTTATATGAAATATTTGTTCATCTTTGACCTTCATACATACGTTGTTTTTTGAAATTAGTGTCCTTCGTATTGGAAAAAAAAACAAACATCGATTTTGATTTTCAAAGGAGATAGAGAAAAATCTCAAGTCCCATATATATGTCATTTAACGTTGACAATTCAATTCGATACTCTATTTTAGTATATAAAAAAGAGATAAACAAATATTGTATAGAATTCACTCGTTCGATCAAAATAATAGACGAAAGAAATTACAAAATAAATAAAACATATTAATAAGTGAAATATTCGAAATAAAATGTTAATTGAAATATGTTTGTTTTTGTAAACGTTCTAAAGCATTAATCAATTGTAAAAATTGATCACGAGAAAGATTTTGTTTTTGTTGTTGAAATTTTTCTTCAAATCTTATTCTTATACGTTCATATTCATTTATCCATGGATATGCTAATATTGCTTGAGCATATAATAATAATTCATTTCCATTTCGAAATTGATAGAATTCATATAATTCAGGTAGAATATGATTTTTAATAAACCATTGTTTAACTTCTTGATCATTCCATTGTTTAATATCTAATGAATTTCTTACTAAAGATATATTTATATAAAGATGTTCATTGATCATTGATAATAATTCTTCACAAGTATTCATAAAATCTAATTTACCAAAACGAATATATTTCAATCGAGCTATTCGTTTATGTAGCCAATCAGTTGGTTTAAAATTTTGATCAATAAATATTGGAAAAAAAAGTTTTTTCAATATATCTGTAACATAAATTAATTCTTGACGACATGATTTATCATAGAAAAAATCTTTTGATAAAAGAAAAAGAATAAGATTTGATTGTTCAATAGTTTGTATTATTTCTTTCCATAAATATTTACCAGTATTAATATCAACATTAATTGATAATTGAGGTATTGTATTTAATATATCATATAATTGTCGACAAAAATCAATATTAACATGAGAATAACTAATCATAAGTGAACATATTATTTTTTTATTATTAGTAGATTTATTTTCTTCGAATTTTATTGGTAATAAAGGATATAAATTTTGCCAAATTCCATCAATTGTTCTTCTTAATGATAACATTTGATAAGGTATATAAATATATGGTAAAACATTATTAATTATATTCATTTCACGAAATATTTCAAGATCTTTAAGTAAATTAATATTTTGAATTAATTCATTTTTATATCGTTCATGAAATGATATACTCCAAATAATATTTGCTAATGCCATAATTGATAGAACATATGAATCAAGATCATCATCATCGAATTTTTTATTTTCGATTTCAAATAAAAATATTTTTAACGTTGTTAAAAAATATGTTTGATATTGATTTTGTTGAAGAATATAATCAATGATATTATCATTCGTACATAATTTCATTAAAGTAATCAATAGTTCTGATATATGACACCCTTTATATTGAAATTTAGTAGATTTTGAGATAATTTTAGTTGTTGATAATACTTGATTGATTGTACCATTATTGAATTCTTCAGCATAAAGTTCATCTGGATCGATGACTAAAATAAGAATTAAATCTAAGAGTAGAGAAACTATTGAACGCATGTCTTTATTAATAATAAAATCAATATTTATATTTAATATTTCATTTTTGAATTGACGTACAATTTTTGTACAATCAGATTTATGAAGAAAAATTGCTCCATTATCATGACGTGCAATATTATATAAAATATTGATAATACATTTATATTCATAACCATTTAAATATGATAATGATAACCATTGTAAACATATTTGTGGATAATTGAGATTAATAAATATTGGTATTGTTAATGTTTTATCAGTTACATTCCCAATAAAATATAATATTTCTTTAATTAATGTATCATTTTGTTTTTCATTTACTCTTAAATGTTCTTTTCTAATGAAATATTCATTAATAAAATTAATAAATAGAGTTAAAAGAGTACTTTGATATTTTTCTAAATCATTATCTGTGATTTTTACTCCTAAATCATTTAAAACTTTCAAAACTGCATATAATATAAAACTACAAGAATTGATTAATATTTGATCAGTATCTTTATCATTTGACATAGTATTTTGAAGATATGAATTAAGTCGTGTTGATGAATTAAGTTGATTTAATAAAGAGAAAAATATTTTTCGTCGAGTTTTCATTGTCGTTTGTTCAATTAACTTCTTTAAATCATAATGACTTTTAATATGAAAAAATGTTCGAAATAAATTATTATTTTCTTTTGAAACGTGATGTTGAATCACTTCAATAAATTGATCAATATCAAGTAATTTAATATAATGGTTTAAGATTATATTGAAAATATTAAAAGCACATGAGGCAGTATAACTATTTTGAGTGATTAAATTATCACAAATATCATTCAATTTGAGGAAAATTGCCGAAATTGAATCGATTTTACTAGAATTGTTTATATTCAAGAACAATTCATCAAATAATTCTTTGACTTGTTCAACGAGTTCATTATTTATTCCTTTATTGTCGTCAACTAGTATAGAAATAAAAAACAAAATAATTTACTCACGACGGAATTATTTGAATTGTCACTCGTCGTTTGAGTTCATAAGGATTATGATATGGTTTTGGCAAGTGACAGTTTGTTCGAAATTCAGTATCTCGATAAATTCTTTTCGACTGAAGTTTTCAGGATATTCTGGAGAACCAGTGAGTAAAACAACGGAACCTCGCTAATGAAAACACAAAGGCTTCTCAAGATTGAGTGAGTGTTTGCCCTCATAGTGAACACTTGGTGAAACAATGACAGTGATATTTTTCTTGATTTGAATAGTGTCCAATACACTTTAGCTAATGACTGAGTTTTCGATTTAAAAAATTATTTCAACTCTTTCAAGGTTTCGAGAAATCATAGAGCTCCTGTTCTATTGTTCTATATGAAAAACTCGGTTCTAACAGTTTTTCAAATGGAAAAGTACGCATGTTCATTGAAATCTACTCGCATGTTCAATATGAATTAGTTCTCACCTGAAGAATTCGTTTGTTCAACTGTTCTTCTGATAGCTAGTTTTGATATTGCTGAATAACTTGCCATTGTTTACTGTGATGAAAGTATACGGTTAGTATTTTGACGTTTATTAGTAATGAAAAGAAAGTATGAGATAAGAAAAACATTTCTTTATACGTGTGAAGTCACCTTTTATCTAGATAAATAGAACGATATTGTTCTACGTTGTCATACTATGAAAATGA